TTGACGGCGATTGACGAGGTGTAGAATGAGGAGACCGGCGAAAAATCGCGCTTCCGACTGGGACGGGGAGTTCTGACGTCAGCGATTTAGGTGGATTTTTTTTAGGTTGACGACTGCTGACGATCGAAACTGATATCAAGGCACCATGAGTCATGGTATGGCACTGACCGACGAGACGGAAGGTTGCGAAGGTGATGAGCGAGGCAGCATCTTACTTTGTAACAATACGGCGAGTTCTGACGGCAGCGCTTGGCGTTGACGACTTCGCTTCCTGACGTTGACGGAAGTTGCTGGGGTTTCTGCAAACGGGGAAGGCGAAGGCGAAGGCGGTCGCTCGCTCGAGCACAGGAGCGGTGGAAGCTGCAGCTTGGATGGAATGGAACGACTGCTGCTGCTGTGATCCAGACGGCGAGTTCAGACGGCGAGTTCTGACGGCGAGTTCTAACGGATCCAGACGGCGAGTTCTGACGGATCCACACGGCGAGTTCTGACGGCGAGTTCTGACGGCGAGTTCTGACGGATCCAGACGGCGAGTCCAGTCGGCGATTTCTGACGGATCAGGCGCTTGCTGAAAACTTGCGTGAAACGCGACGCGAAATAAGGCGAAGACGAAAGCGGAGGCGAAAGCGAAGGCGAAAGCGGAGGCGAAAGCGGAGGCGAAAGCGAAGGCGATGCGAGGGTGAAGGCGAAGGCGAAGGCGATCGCTCGAGCACGGAAGTGGTGGAATAGAGTGATCCGCTAAGTTGAGGCGTGCATCCTGTTGCTGGCTGGCTGCTGCTTCTGTCGCTCAACTTCTCGCGCAGCTAAGTTCCCTCACCGTGCCACTCACCGCCTTGCGATCCTTCTGTTCTTGTTGTATCTGCTTATAGCTTCGTTTCCTTAGCGCATGCTCGAAGCCAAAACGTCAAATCCTTGTGCGAAGGGTTTTATGAGGCGCATGGCGATGGTCGCGCATGGCACGAGGGCGGCAGAGCTCATTCTAGAGTTGTAGGGGGTAGACTGCATTCATACTCATGCCCGCGTCCCTTTCTCACCCAGTCCACCCTTGCCTGCTAGCTCTCGCTGCCCAACTGCCATGCCTACCATCGCCTCTATTTACCCTGGTCTCGAGTGCCCCGTGCCTGTTTCTGTTTTTCATGCTTCTACTGACTACTTGGGTTCCTTTCCCCTGCTCTGTTTTCTTGCTCTCCTTCCCATCTCGTCTGGTGCTATGGCAGCGTGGTGCGGGGAGGGAGGGCGGTGGGATGACGCACGGCAGGCAGTCACAGCGGTGTGCGAGCCTCCTGGAAGCCTGACGCCACTGTCCTGCAAGCACCCCCATACGGCTAAGTTCCCTCTCCCTTCGCCCTTGCCATCCTTACCGCTTCTGCTTCGTGTTTATCATTGCCCACTTTTGTACCGCATTCTTCCGTCACCGCGTGCTCGAAACAAATGAGCCCATTTTCGAATGGGAGCGATCAAAAGTTGAGTGAGAGATGAGCGGCGTTTGGCGATGGTAGCGCATGGCACTGGGGCGGCTTGAGCTCATACTAGAGTCGTAGGGGGTTAGAGTAGAATGCATTCATATCCATGCTGCGTCCCTTCCTAATTTGCCTGCTAGCTCGGCGCCCTAGTGCTGTGTGCTACCATCGCCTCCCCTTCCACAGCGTCACAGTGCCAAGTGCTTTTTGTCTTCAACTCTCGTTTCCTCTACTCATCGTTCTCGTTTTCTCTGCCTCCTTGCATGCATTTCACTACTTTCATGCTTCTACTGACTACTTGGGTTCCTTTCCCCTTCTCTATTTTCTTGCTCTCCTTCCCATCTCGTCTGGTGCTATGGCAGCGTGGTGCGGGGAGGGAGGGCGGTGGGATGACGCACGGCAGGCAGTCACAGCGGTGTGCGAGCCTCCTGGAAGCCTGACGCCACTGTCCTGCAAGCACCCCCATACGGCTAAGTTCCCTCTCCCTTCGCCCTTGCCATCCTTACCGCTTCTGCTTCGTGTTTATCATTGCCCACTTTTGTACCGCATTCTTCCGTCACCGCGTGCTCGAAACAAATGAGCCCATTTTCGAATGGGAGCGATCAAAAGTTGAGTGAGAGATGAGCGGCGTTTGGCGATGGTAGCGCATGGCACTGGGGCGGCTTGAGCTCATACTAGAGTCGTAGGGGGTTAGAGTAGAATGCATTCATAATCATGCTGCGTCCCTTCCTAATTTGCCTGCTAGCTCGGCGCCCTAGTGCTGTGTGCTACCATCGCCTCCCCTTTCACAGCGTCACAGTGCCACGTGCTTTTTATCTTCAACTTTCGTTTCCTCTACTCATCGTTCTTGTTATCTCTGCCTCCTTGCATGCATTTCACTACTTTCATGCTTCTACTGACTACTTGGGTTCCTTTCCCCTGCTCTGTTTTCTTGCTCTCCTTCCCATCTCGTCTGGTGCTATGGCAGCGTGGTGCGGGGAGGGAGGGCGGTGGGATGACGCACGGCAGGCAGTCACAGCGGTGTGCGAGCCTCCTGGAAGCCTGACGCCACTGTCCTGCAAGCACCCCCATACGGCTAAGTTCCCTCTCCCTTCGCCCTTGCCATCCTTACCGCTTCTGCTTCGTGTTTATCATTGCCCACTTTGGTACCGAATTCTTCCGTCACCGCGTGCTCGAAACAAATGAGCCCATTTTCGAATGGGAGCGATCAAAAGTTGAGTGAGAGATGAGCGGCGTTTGGCGATGGTAGCGCATGGCACTGGGGCGGCTTGAGCTCATACTAGAGTCGTAGGGGGTTAGAGTAGAATGCATTCATAATCATGCTGCGTCCCTTCCTAATTTGCCTGCCAGCTCAGCGCCCTAGTGCTGTGTGCTACCATCGCCTCCCCTTTCACAGCGTCACAGTGCCACGTGCTTTTTGTCTTCAACCTTTCTTGTTATCTCTGCCTCCTTGCATGCATTTCACTACTTCAATGCATCTTTTGACTACTTGGGTTCCTTTGAATCACTGTCTTCTCTCCCCGATTCATTCCCTTGTCGCAGGGCAGGAGAGGAGAGGGGAGGGAGGGAGGGCAGTGGGATTACGCATGGCTGGCATGGGTGTGCCCTGCTGACCTCGCCGCTCCGTCACGGGCAGCTGGGAGTGCGGCCGATGGGAGTCTCGCTGCTGCTTTGAGGGCTGCTGGTGGGAGTCTCTGTGCTGCTGGTGCATGGATGCATGGATGCATGGATGCATGGATGCATGGGTGCATGGATGCATGGGTGCATGGATGCATGGGTGCATGGATGCATGGGTGCATGGATACCTTGTCCCACCTCAGTTTCCTCTCTCTCTTGCGCCTGCCTTTCGCCCTGGCCCTCCATGCAACCACACGCATGCACATGCTCCCACACGGATCCGTGTGCTGCGTCCCTGTTTTTCTTTATCTGTGTGTTACTCCCTGGGCAGGAGCCTGTACAACAACTCGTTCTCGGGTGCCATTCCCCCTGCCATCTATGGACCCAAGGCCCTCACCGTGCTGTATGCCATGCATGCACCCATGCACGCATTCATGCAACCATGCATGCACCCATGCACGCATTCATGCAACCATGCATGCACCCATGCACACATTCATGCAACCATGCATGCACCCATGCACACATTCATGCAACCATGCATGCACCCATCCATGCACGCACCCATGCATGCGCCCGCACACCTATGCACCCATGCACCCACGATACCCTTGTGATGCATATGATTGCATGGATAGGGTGCAACCAGCATAAGTAGTGCGGCCATTGTAGGCTTACGAGCACAGGTCGCAAGGCTACCTTGGGGGAGGGCGGGATAGGCGGGTGCGAGAGGGATGTAGATGCTGAAACGACGATGGCATGTCACGCCATGCGATAGGGAGAAGAGGGAGACTATGATGGCACGTCACGCATGCATCCTCCCAGTCACGTATGAGTATGGGCAGGGAGGTAGGTAGGGCGCAACTGCTTCACGAGGTCGTTCCCGTCACAGTATCTTCTTTTTTGGAATTCTCCGTGTTACCCTGCCTCGCCCCGCATTCCCCTCCATTCGTACACGAGCAGAGAGTTAGGGCGCAACTACTTCACAGGGTCGTTCCCCTCACAGTTCGTTACCCTCTCCAACCTTGAGTACCTGTGAGTCACCCCCCTGCTTGCTCCACCTGCATGTGCCCATGCTCCATGCCATGTGCCCGTGCGCCCATTTGCTCATGCACGCAGGCACCCATGCGCCCATGCGCCCATGCGTTCGTGTGCCATGTTTTCCTTTGCATGTGCCGTCCTCCATCCGCGTAGCAGCAGTAAACACACACGCAGTGAACTTGTTTGCTTCCACACACTGCCCCTGCCTTCGTGCCCTTGCGTCGCCACCTCTTGGGAGCACCCATGCCGCAGCTGCTCCATGTGGCACGCATCCCCCAAAATACCCTGCCATGCGGGTATTCATGTGGCATGTGGCATGGCGTGTGGCATGGCATGTGGCATGGCGTGTGGCATGGCGTGTTGCATGGCGTGGGGCATGGCAGGGAGGCAGGCAACATGGGTCTGACAGGCGAGCTGCACTCGAGTCTGGGCAACTTGAAGTATCTGCAGGCGCTGTGAGTCCATGGAGGCAGCACACACAGACAGCACAGCACACACACAGCAGCTGATGAATCTGCATGCCCTCATCATGGAACTGCGTACCATGCAGCCAGCCCAAAACTTTGACTTGCTTATATACAACACAAATTTCGGAACACTCTCCCCACTTTCCACACACTATGCAATGCGCAGGACACAGCGCTCATTACCCAGCATTCAACTCAACCCTACTCATGCATGACTCAACCCCCCACTATTCCCTCGTTTCCCCTCCCCACCCATGGCCCCACCAGCTATGCGCGGGAGATCGCCCTCCAGGGCAGCATCCCTGCCACTCTGGGTAGCCTCAGCCGCCTCACCATCATGTAAGCCAGCACCTCCAGAAGTGACTGTCAAGCTGACTCAAAACTCGCCTCTGTGTGGGTGGGTCACCTCATGGCCTCAGCGTTGCTGAAATACGCCACGCCAGCAGCTCGCCTGGGAAGACCAGACCAGCTCCATTGCCATGGTCAGCTCCTCATGGCTCCATAAGCGCGATGGGAGGAACTGAGGGAGGAACTGAGGGAGGAACTGAGGGAGGAACTGAGGGAGGAACTGAGGGAGGAACTGAGGGAGGGACTGAGGGAGGGACTGAGGGAGGAACTGAGGGAGGAACTGAGGGAGGAACTGAGGGAGGAACTGAGGGAGGAACTGAGGGAGGGACTGAGGGAGGAACTGAGGGAGGAACTGAGGGAGGAACTGAGGGAGGAACTGAGGGAGGAACTGAGGGAGGAACTGAGGGAGGAACTGAGGGAGGGACTGAGGGAGGAACTGAGGGAGGAACTGAGGGAGGAACTGAGGGAGGAACTGAGGGAGGAACTGAGGGAGGGACTGAGGGAGGAACTGAGGGAGGGACTGAGGGAGGAACTGAGGGAGGAACTGAGGGAGGGACTGAGGGAGGAACTGAGGGAGGAACTGAGGGAGGAACTGAGGGAGGAACTGAGGGAGGGACTGAGGGAGGAACTGAGGGAGGGACTGAGGGAGGAACTGAGGGAGGAACTGAGGGAGGGACTGAGGGAGGGACTGAGGGAGGAACTGAGGGAGGAACTGAGGGAGGAACTGAGGGAGGAACTGAGGGAGGAACTGAGGGAGGAACTGAGGGAGGGACTGAGGGAGGGACTGAGGGAGGGACTGAGGGAGGAACTGAGGGAGGGACTGAGGGAGGAACTGAGGGAGGAACTGAGGGAGGAACTGAGGGAGGAACTGAGGGAGGAACTGAGGGAGGGACTGAGGGAGGGACTGAGGGAGGAACTGAGGGAGGAACTGAGGGAGGGACTGAGGGAGGAACTGAGGGAGGAACTGAGGGAGGAACTGAGGGAGGAACTGAGGGAGGAACTGAGGGAGGAACTGAGGGAGGGACTGAGGGAGGAACTGAGGGAGGGACTGAGGGAGGAACTGAGGGAGGGACTGAGGGAGGGACTGAGGGAGGAACTGAGGGAGGAACTGAGGGAGGAACTGAGGGAGGGACTGAGGGAGGAACTGAGGGAGGGACTGAGGGAGGAACTGAGGGAGGGACTGAGGGAGGAACTGAGGGAGGGACTGAGGGAGGGACTGAGGGAGGGACTGAGGGAGGAACTGAGGGAGGGACTGAGGGAGGGACTGAGGGAGGAACTGAGGGAGGAACTGAGGGAGGAACTGAGGGAGGAACGGAGGGGGAACCGAGGGAGGGACTGAGGGAGGAACCGAGGGAGGGACCGAAGGAGGAACTGAGGGAGGAACTGAGGGAGGAACTGAGGGAGGAACTGAGGGAGGAACTGAGGGAGGGACTGAGGGAGGAACTGAGGGAGGGACTGAGGGAGGGACTGAGGGAGGGACTGAGGGAGGAACTGAGGGAGGAACTGAGGGAGGAACTGAGGGAGGAACTGAGGGAGGGACTGAGGGAGGAACTGAGGGAGGGACTGAGGGAGGAACTGAGGGAGGAACTGAGGGAGGGACTGAGGGAGGGACTGAGGGAGGGACTGAGGGAGGGACTGAGGGAGGAACTGAGGGAGGAACTGAGGGAGGAACTGAGGGAGGAACTGAGGGAGGAACTGAGGGAGGGACTGAGGGAGGGACTGAGGGAGGGACTGAGGGAGGAACTGAGGGAAGAACTTGTGAGAAAGTGTAAGAACAACCGATAGTTTCATTAGGAAGGGCATGGGTTTACATAGTTGAGCTAGGATGTAGGAGCCATGCCAACATTATTGGCCCCCACCAATAAGTTGGGTTGAGGAGTTATTGGGGGGACCAATAATGTTGACCAAAAGTGGGTCAACATTATTGGGGGGGCCAATAATCTCCCAACCCAACCTTGGGGGCCCAATAATTGGGCCAAGGTTGGGTTCCAACCTCAAACTAGGGTAAACCCTAGTTGTGCACCCAAACTAAGTTTGGGTGCCTATCTCTAGTCAAAGCTTATATGATGATGCAGGTTACAATGAAGATGGTAATCTGACACAACCCCTTAACCTGCAGAAATCCATAGGCTTTGGAAGAGAGAACGCAACAACCCCTGAATCAGCCACCGCGGGGAGCAAGTCCCTGAAGATGCAGGAGCGCAGAGTGGTTAGAGCGATGGAGAGCCTTGGTGAAGAGGTCAGCGAGGTTGGCGGACGAGTCGATTTTACGAACAGTGATGTGACCATCTTGCACAAGATCGCGGACAAAGTAGTAGCGGAGTTCGATGTGTTTGGAGCGACCATGAAAGACGGCCTCCTTGGTGAGGTGGATGGTACTATCGTTGTCACACCACAGGGTGGGGCAGGGCTGTGGTGAGCCAAGGTCGGTGAGAAGATAGCTAAGCCAGCGTGCCTCTTGAGCCGCCATGGTGACTGCGTACAGCTCGGCTTCGCAGGAGGAGAGGGCGACGGAGGAGGAGCGAGTGGAGCGCCAGCTGATGAGGCCGCTCCCAAGGGAGAAGCCATATCCTTGAGAACTGCGATGGTCCGGCTGTGCATCCGCCCAAGATGAGTCACTGAAGCCTTGAAGAACAGGTGGGTCCACACCACCAAGCGTGAGGCCATAGTCCTTTGTGCCTTGGAGGTAGCGCAGAACACGCATGGCCGCCTTCCAGTGCTCCTCACCATGCCTGCCAGTGCCAACAAACCGCGCCAGGACACTGACGGGGTATGCAAGGTCGGGACGAGTGCAGACCATGGCGTACATCAGGGCCCCAACGAGTTCTGCATAGGGATGAGGGGAGGTGACAGGAGTGGCTGGAGGGGACAGCCGATGCCCGAATGCAAGTGGTGTGGGGATGGGTTTGGATTTGGACATGCCGAATCTCTCGAGCACCTTCCCGATGTAGAATGACTGAGAGAGGGTGATAGTCTTGGCAGTGAGGTCGCGGGTGATCTCCATGCCAAGGTAGTTGCGGACTTCCCCCAGATCTTTGCAGGCGAGACGTTGCTGCAGCTCATCCTTGACCTCCTGAAGTTCAGCAGCTGTCTCAGCTGCTAGCAGCATGTCGTCGACGTAGACGAGGATGAAGAAGGGTGACGGAGTTAAGCGAAGGAAGAGGCAAGAGGCAGCACGGGAGGGGCGAAAGCCAAGTGCGCGAAGGGTGGATGAGAGTTTGGCGTGCCATTCTCGAGGTGCTTGTTTGAGCCCGTAAACAGGGCGTAGTAGTTTCCAGACGGTGGCAGGGTCGTGAGGAGCGTGGAAGCCCTTGGGACGTTCCAAGAAGATGAGTTCGTGGAGGTCGCCTTGTAAGAAGGCCGTGGTGACATCCATGGAGTGGAGGAGCATCCCGCGTCTGCCAACGAAGTCCAGAAACACGCGAATGACCGGCGGAGTGGCGGTAGGTGAGTAGGTCTCGAAGAAGTCCGAGCCATAAGTCTGTGTAAAGCCTTTCGCCACATACCGAGCCTTGTAGACAGGAGCTTCACCAGGGAGTAGTTTTACTCGGAAGAGCCACCTGCCTTTGACCACGTTGTGCTTGGAGGGGCGAGGGACGTCGAGGAAAGAGCGGTTGTGGATGAAGGCGTTGCATTCCTTGACCATGGCCTCGATCCAGAGAGGTGCGTCAAGACATGCAATTGCTTGCTCGTAGGTGGTGGGTTCGTAGATGGTGGGGGTGTTGGAGAAAAGAAGGACCGTAGTACCAGCCATGGTGCGGACGACAGGGGCGATGGTGGGTGAGAGGAGGTGGAGGAAAAGGAGTTCATCATGAGAGTCTTCATAGAGGTCCGGAGAGAGAGGAGGAGGAAGAGGAGGCGGTGAAGATGCAAGACAGCTGCGCTGGAGGGTCAGGCTGGAGCGGGAACACGGCTGCACTGCTGCTCTGCTGCGCCGAGGGTCGGGGCGAGGAGACAGCTGCAATGCTGCTCTGCTGCGCTGAGTTGCCGTGAGGGGCAGGGAGACGGGAGCGCGGCTGGTGTGAGAACCTGAGGGGCTGGTGCGGGGGAGTGGGGAAGTGCTAGAGTGGTGGAGGAGTGGAATGGATGTGAGAGACCGGAGGGAGAGGTGATTGGACCGTGGGGGACCAAGGATGGGGACTGTGGAGCGGGTGTGAGGGTAGTGACGAAGGAGCAGAAGAGGGGACGAAAGTAAGGGCCGAGATGGTGGAGGGGAAGGGGGGGGAGGAGGAGATGGGGAGGGTGGAGGTTGGGAGAGGGGAGGGGGTGGGGGAGAGTTCAGGGGGGGAGGGGATGGAGAGAGGGAGGGGGGGGGTGGGGAGGGAGGGGGGGGGTCAGCGGGGAGAGGGGGAGGGTCAGTGGGGGGAGAGGGAGTTACAGCGGAAGGGGAGGGTGGGGCAGCCGGGTCAAGGATGTCCCCTGAGGAGGTTGGGAGAGAAGGGGGAGGGGGTGGGGGTGCGGGTATGACCAGGGTGGGGGGAGGTTGAAGGGGAGGGGTGATGACAGTGTCAGTCCAGAGGAGAGGACGTATGGTGAGGGGGAGGGGGTTAGGGGCGGAGGGGGAGGTGTAGTACGGATTGGCTTCATCAAAAACCACATCCCGACTACGAATGAGACGACCTGAGGGGGGGTGGAGGAAGAGGTAGTCCGGGGAGGTGGGGTTATGACCAATGAAGATGCAAGGGAGGGTGCGGGAGGCAAGTTTCCCAGCTGCACGTGAACGGTCCTCAGGGTGTATGAGAACATACGCCTTGGAGCCCCACACGCGCAGGGGGGAGATGTCGGGTTTAGTGGAGGTCCAGAGTTCGGTGGGAGTAGTGGTGGGCCGTGAGGGATGGGGGTAGAGATTAGTGAGGATGGCGGCGTGGAGGATAGCATAACCCCACAGAGAAGGCGGGCAGGAGGCATGGACCATGAGGCATCGAGCGGTCTTGGTGACCTCCCGAACCCTGCTCTCCGCCACACCATTTTGCTGAGGGGAATGAGGAAGGGTGTAGGTGTGGATAATGCCATGGGTGGAGCAGTAGGAGGAAAGCATCCGGTTAAGGAACTCACCGCCGCCATCGGAATGGAAGCGAGAGACAGGGCGTTTGAAATGGGTGCGTGCTTGTTCAGCCCAGGCAATAATGGCAGCCGGGGCCTCCGCCTTCTTGCGAAGGAGAGAGACAGTGGAGTACCGACTGTGGTCATCTACCAGTATGAGCAGGTAGCGATGACCTTGCCTGGTGGGGGTGGGATTGGGGCCCCAGAGGTCCATGTGGACGAGATCAATGGGTTGGGGAGAGAAGGAGGGATGACTCTTGTGGGGGGCTTGCTTTAGTTTGCTTTCAACGCAAACTGAGCAGGGAGGGGAGGGCGACGGGGGGAGAGGGGGGAGGGTGAGGGGAAGTCCTTCAAGAAGTTGAGAGGAGACAGATTGACGAAGGGTGGCAAAGTTGGGATGACCCAAGCGATGGTGAAGGAGGACGGCGGGATGGGTAAGGTCACGACAGTGACAGGAGGGGGAGGAGGGAGGGGAGGGGGAGGAGGGAGGGGAGGGGGAGGAGGGAGGGGGAGGGGAGGCAAGAGGAGGGGGGGGAAGGAGGGGAGGGAAGGGGGGAAGAAGGGGAGGGGAGGAGGGGGGGGAGAGGGGAGGGGGAAGGGAGGTGGTAGGGGAAGTAAGGTGGGAGTGGTGAGTTGGTGGATGGAGGGGCGAGGGGCGCGGTATGTGTACAGGTTTGTGTGTGGGCAGAGGGGAATACGACAGATGAAGCGACCAGTGATGGTGTGAAAGAGGTCGCAGTGAAGTGCATGTCCGGGGAAGATGGCGGTGACACCTAACCTTGGGAGGTCACGAAGTGCTACCAGATTGTTGCGTAGGGAGGGGACGTGTAGACCTGTGACTGTGCCTGAGGGGAAGATGGGGCAGGGGAGAGTGGAGGTGTGTCGACTTGTGATGGTGAAGCTGAAGTCGGCTCCGTAAATGGTGGAGGGAGTGGGGAGGGGGACTAGTGTGCCTGCGTCCCGAAGGACAGTGTGTGTAGCGCCGCTGTCAAGAATGAACTCAAGGAGTGTAGAGGAGGAGGAAGAAGCGGAATACTGGAAGGATGTCTCATTAATAGCATGGGCATACATTGAAGGAGCAGGAGAAGCAGTGCTAACATGTCCTATGAATCCAGCAGAAGGGAACGGAGTGAAGCCAGGAGGATTGGAGGAGGAGGAGGGCTGGTCAGTAGGAGTGGTAGCAGGTGGAGGAAGCACAGGGCCGTATTGAGGAGGTGGATAAGGAGGGTATGGCCAGCCGGTATAGGGCGGAGGATAGTGGGGGGGAGGGGCTTGAGGAGGAGGTGTGGGTGAAGGGGGAATGGGAGGGGTGGGAGGGGTGGGAGTGGGAGGAGATGAAGGGAGAAGATGTTGAACTTGCTGGAGGATATGAGGTGGGAGATGCTCAGTGAGGACATTGTGAAGATTAGGGGTGGAGGGTTGATAGGCGGGGAGAGTGCGTATGTCATGGAGAGAGGGGCGCGGGAAGATGGTGTTCCATCGAGGTGGGGTGCCGACATTGCCACGTGCAAACCACTCATCAGTGAGGGCTTTGAAGCACGTGTCAGTGGTGTGAGTGGTTTGAGCGCAAGGCTGACCTTTGTTGGAGCCATAGCGAATGATGTACTGACACGGGGGAAGGGTACCCGAGGGAGAGGGGTTTTTGCCACGCCCACCACGGCCGCCACCACGACCACCACCGCGTCCACCGCCTCGCCCACCACCTCGTCCACCACCGCCACCGCCAGTACCGCTTGAGCCGCTACCTCCGCCGCTGCTGTGGTTGCCTGCGGGAGTTTTGCGAGCCTGGATAGCATTGATGGTGGTGGAGTCACGTTGGATGTCCGCTTCGCTGTCAAGGAGCCAGTCGATTGTGTCGGCCACAGGAGGAGGATGGCGGTACCTAGAGGTAAAGGTGATGCGGTAGGTATCGTATGTGGGTGGAAGGCAGTCGAGGATGCGTGCAGTGAGAAGTGATTCATGAATGACAATGCCGCGGTCGTTGAGACGTTGCGCAGTGTCGATGAGGCGCCGAGTGAAGGCAGCAGCAGTGGGGGATGAGTCAAGAGTGGTGTCTTGAAATTTGCGAAAGAGAGCAAGGAGAGAGCGAAGGTCCTGTCGGTCGTACTGAGTGGACAGGGTTTTCCAGAGGCCAGAGGAGGAGGTGGGGCGGAGGTCACGTTTGAGATGGGAAGGGATGCAGGAGAAGATAATGGCTAGAGCGCGGCGATCCGCAATTCGCCATGCTGCAGTATCCTTGTTGAACTTGCGAAGTTCATCAGCATAGTCTTTTTCATCCTGTGCGTAGGAGAGGATACGCGCAGTAGCATCAGCGTGAGCCTTCTCAGCAGCACGGTGCGCCTCACGCTGGATGGTGTAGGCATCGCGAAGCTTGTTGTAGTTGTTCAAGTTGGCCGCCCATCGATCTGGGTTGTCATCATGAACTGGGGCACGAGGGGGATCAGACAGAGGCTCTGGGGGAGGAGGGGCATCAGGAGGAGGAGGCTCAAGAGGAGGAGGGGGGACGGGTGGAAGGCCGTTAGGGTGCTCAAGAACTACATCAAGAAGACAGTAGTCTTGAACAATGACAGAGCCAAGGTGGGTGTGAAGTGTGTCCTCAAACGACGCCCAGTTCACGGCCGTAGTGTCATGGAGGAGTTCGAGCTTATCGATAGCTCCGAGTTCAATGGGAGTAGAGTCGTCCGCCATGAGGGGGGAGGAAGGGGGGGGAGAGGGTGACGACACCGGCTGGAGGGCGGGTGCGGTCAAAGACGACACCACCTGGAGGGGTGGCGCGGTCACGTTGCGTGCGGCAGCGCTTCGTCACCCGCGGCTGCCCCTTGTCGCCCGCGGCTGCGTCTCGTCGCCCGCGGCTGCGCCTCGTCGCCTGCAGCTGTGCCTTGACGACACGCGGCTGCTCCTGGACGCGTCCGCAGCGATCGCCCTCGCTGGTTGCGTCCGCGGCGTCCGCACGCGCTGGTCGTGTCCGCAGCGTCGCCCTCGCTGGTCGCGTCCGTGACGTCCGCCCGCGCTGGTCGCGTCCGCGGCGTCCGCCCGCGCTGGTCGCGTCCGCGGCGTCCGCCCTCGCTGGTCGCGTCCGCGGCGTCCGCCCTCGCTGGTCGCGTCCGCGGCGTCCGCCCGCGCTGGTCGCGTCCGCGGCGTCCGCCCTCGCTGGTCGCGTCCGCGGCGTCCGCCCTCGCTGGTCGCGTCCGCGGCGTCCGCCCTCGCTGGTCGCGTCCGCGGCGTCCGCCCTCGCTGGTCGCGTCCGCGGCGTCCGCCCGCGCTGGTCGCGTCCGCGGCGTCCGCCCGCGCTGGTCGCGTCCGCGGCGTCCGCCCTCGCTGGTCGCGTCCGCGGCGTCCGCCCTCGCTGGTCGCGTCCGCGGCGTCCGCCCTCGCTGGTCGCGTCCGCGGCGTCCGCCCGCGCTGGTCGCGTCCGCGGCGTCCGCCCTCGCTGGTCGCGTCCGCGGCGTCGCCGCCTCGCTGGTCGCGTCCGCGGCGTCCGCCCGCGTGTCGCGTCCGCGGCGTCCGCCCTCGCTGGTCGCGTCCGCGGCGTCCGCCCTCGCTGGTCGCGTCCGCGGCGTCCGCCCCCGCTGGTCGCGTCCGCGGCGGTCGCCCTCGCTGGTCGCGTCCGCGGCGTCCGCCCCCGCTGGTCGCGTCCGCGGCGTCCGCCCCCGCTGGTCGCGTCCGCGGCGGTCGCCCGTTCTCGTCGCGTCCGCGGCCGTCGTTCGTCGCGGGTGTGGCGTCCGCCGCGATTAGGGTTCCGTCGCTCGTGCTGGCCGTTCCGACGGTCGCGCTGGTCGTTCCGACGGTTGCGCAGATCGTTCCGACGGTTGCGCGGATCGTTCCGACGGTTGGCGTGGCCGTTCCGACGGTTGATGGGTTAGTGGGAGAGAGGGGAGAGCCGCGAGAGGCGGAATTGACTGTAGAAAGGAGGGAGGGGGGCGCTGAAATTTAGCGCAAAGGGGGGGGGGGGGGCGTGACGGCGTAGGGGCGCACTAGGCGCAAAGGGCGACGTAGTGTCGCGTGAGAGAGGGGGGCGTGATATAGCACGCGGTATGTGCGGTCCTTAGGATCGAGATGGTGTGAGCCGTAGTTGCTCTGAATACCATGTGAGAAAGTGTAAGAACAACCGATAGTTTCATTAGGAAGGGCATGGGTTTACATAGTTGAGCTAGGATGTAGGAGCCATGCCAACATTATTGGCCCCCACCAATAAGTTGGGTTGAGGAGTTATTGGGGGGACCAATAATGTTGACCAAAAGTGGGTCAACATTATTGGGGGGGCCAATAATCTCCCAACCCAACCTTGGGGGCCCAATAATTGGGCCAAGGTTGGGTTCCAACCTCAAACTAGGGTAAACCCTAGTTGTGCACCCAAACTAAGTTTGGGTGCCTATCTCTAGTCAAAGCTTATATGATGATGCAGGTTACAATGAAGATGGTAATCTGACACAACCCCTTAACCTGCAGAAATCCATAGGCTTTGGAAGAGAAAGCAACACCCTGAATCAGCCACCGCGGGGCAAAGTCCCTGAAGATGCAGGAGCGCAGAGTGGTTAGAGCGATGGAGAGCCTTGGTGAAGAGGTCAGCAAGGTTGTGCACCCAAACAAGTTTTGGGTGCCTATCTCTAGTCAAAGCTTATATGATGATGCAGGTTACAATGAGATGGTAATCTGACCAACTGAGGGAGGAACTGAGGGAGGAACTGAGGGAGGGACTGAGGGAGGAACTGAGGGAGGAACTGAGGGAGGGACTGAGGGAGGGACTGAGGGAGGAACTGAGGGAGGGACTGAGGGAGGGACTGATCGAGGAACTGAGGGAGGAACTGAGGGAGGAACTGAGGGAGGAACTGAGGGAGGGACTGAGGGAGGGACTGAGGGAGGGACTGAGGGAGGAACTGAGGGAGGAACTGAGGGAGGGACGATGAGGAGGACTGAGGGAGGAACTGAGGGAGGAACTGAGGGAGGAACTGAGGGAGGAACTGAGGGAGGAACTGAGGGAGGAACTGAGGGAGGGACTGAGGGAGGGACTGAGGGAGGGACTGAGGGAGGAACTGAGGGAGGAACTGAGGGAGGAACTGAGGGAGGGACTGAGGGAGGAACTGAGGGAGGGACTGAGGGAGGAACTGAGGGAGGAACTGAGGGAGGGACTGAGGGAGGAACTGAGGGAGGGACTGAGGGAGGAACTGAGGGAGGGACTGAGGGAGGGACTGAGGGAGGAACTGAGGGAGGAACTGAGGGAGGAACTGAGGGAGGGACTGAGGGAGGAACTGAGGGAGGACTGAGGAGGGACGAGGAGGAACTGAGGGAGGAACTGAGGGAGGAACTGAGGGAGGAACTGAGGGAGGAACTGAGGGAGGGACTGAGGGAGGGACTGAGGGAGGAACTGAGGGAGGAACTGAGGGAGGAACTGAGGGAGGAACTGAGGGAGGAAGGAACTGAAAGAGGAACTGAGGGAGGAACTGAGGGAGGAACTGAGGGAGGGACTGAGGGAGGGACTGAGGGAGGGACTGAGGGAGGGACTGAGGGAGGAACTGAGGGAGGAACTGAGGGAGGAACTGAGGGAGGGACTGAGGGAGGGACTGAGGGAGGGACTGAGGGAGGAACTGAGGGAGGGACTGAGGGAGGGACTGAGGGAGGGACTGAGGGAGGAACTGAGGGAGGAACTGAGGGAGGAACTGAGGGAGGAACTGAGGGAGGAACTGAGGGAGGGACTGAGGGAGGAACTGAGGGAGGAACTGAGGGAGGGACTGAGGGAGGAACTGAGGGAGGGACTGAGGGAGGAACTGAGGGAGGGACTGAGGGAGGGACTGAGGGAGGGACTGAGGGAGGGACTGAGGGAGGAACTGAGGGAGGGACTGAGGGAGGAACTGAGGGAGGGACTGAGGGAGGAACTGAGGGAGGAACTGAGGGAGGAACTGAGGGAGGGACTGAGGGAGGGACTGAGGGAGGGACTGAGGGAGGAACTGAGGGAGGGACGATGGAGGAACTGAGGGAGGAACTGAGGGAGGAACTGAGGGAGGAACTGAGGGAGGAACTGAGGGAGGAACTGAGGGAGGAACTGAGGGAGGGACTGAGGGAGGAACTGAGGGAGGGACTGAGGGAGGAACTGAGGGAGGGACTGAGGGAGGAACTGAGGGAGGGACTGAGGGAGGAACTGAGGGAGGGACTGAGGGAGGAACTGAGGGAGGAACTGAGGGAGGGACTGAGGGAGGAACTGAGGGAGGGACTGAGGGAGGGACTGAGGGAGGAACTGAGGGAGGGACTGAGGGAGGGACTGAGGGAGGGACTGAGGGAGGAACTGAGGGAGGAACTGAGGGAGGGACTGAGGGAGGAACTGAGGGAGGAACTGAGGGAGGAACTGAGGGAGGAACTGAGGGAGGGACTGAGGGAGGGACTGAGGGAGGAACTGAGGGAGGAACTGAGGGAGGAACTGAGGGAGGAACTGAGGGAGGAAGGAACTGAAAGAGGAACTGAGGGAGGAACTGAGCGAGGAACTGAAGGAGTAACTGAGGGAGGAACTGAGGGAGGAACTGAGGGAGGAACTGAGGGAGGAACTGAGGGAGGAACTGAGGGAGGAACTGAGGGAGGGACTGAGGGAGGAACTGAGGGAGGGACTGAGGGAGGAACTGAGGGAGGAACTGAGGGAGGGACTGAGGGAGGGACTGAGGGAGGGACTGAGGGAGGAACTGAGGGAGGAACTGAGGGAGGAACTGAGGGAGGAACTGAGGGAGGGACTGAGGGAGGGACTGAGGGAGGAACTGAGGGAGGGACTGAGGGAGGAACTGAGGGAGGAACTGAGGGAGGAACTGAGGGAGGGACTGAGGGAGGGACTGAGGGAGGGACTGAGGGAGGGACTGAGGGAGGAACTGAGGGAGGGACTGAGGGAGGAACTGAGGGAGGGACTGAGGGAGGAACTGAGGGAGGAACTGAGGGAGGAACTGAGGGAGGGACTGAGGGAGGGACTGAGGGGGGGACTGAGGGCGGAACTGAGGGAGGGACGATGGAGGAACTGAGGGAGGAACTGAGGGAGGAACTGAGGGAGGAACTGAGGGAGGAACTGAGGGAGGAACTGAGGGAGGAACTGAGGGAGGGACTGAGGGAGGAACTGAGGGAGGGACTGAGGGAGGAACTGAGGGAGGGACTGAGGGAGGAACTGAGGGAGGGACTGAGGGAGGAACTGAGGGAGGGACTGAGGGAGGAACTGAGGGAGGAACTGAGGAGGGAACTGAGGGAGGAACTGAGGGAGGGACTGAGGGAGGGACTGAGGGGAAACTGAGGGAGGGACTGAGGGAGGGACCGCGAGGGAGACGAGGGAGGAACTGAGGGAGGAACTGAGGGAGGGACTGAGGGAGGAACTGAGGGAGGAACTGAGGGAGGAACTGAGGGAGGAACTGAGGGAGGAACTGAGGGAGGGACTGAGGGAGGGACTGAGGGGAGGTGACTGAGGGAGGAACTGAGGGAGGGACTGAGGGAGGAACTGAGGGAGGAACTGAGGGAGGAACTGAGGGAGGGACTGAGGGAGGAACTGAGGGAGGAACTGAGGGAGGGACTGAGGGAGGAACTGAGGGAGGAACTGAGGGAGGAACTGAGGGAGGAACTGAGGGAGGAACTGAGGGAGGGACTGAGGGAGGGACTGAGGGAGGAACTGAGGGAGGAACTGAGGGAGGGACTGAGGGAGGAACTGAGGGAGGACTGAGGAGGACTGAGGGAGGAGCCTGAGGGAGGGACTGAGGGAGGGACTGAGAGGACTGCTGAGGAGGAACTGAGGGAGGAACTGAGGGAGGAACTGAGGGAGGGACTGAGGGAGGAACTGAGGGAGGAACTGAGGGAGGGACTGAGGGAGGAACTGAGGGAGGGACTGAGGGAGGGACTGAGGGAGGGACTGAGGGAGGGACTGAGGGAGGGACTGAGGGAGGGACTGAGGGAGGGACTGAGGGAGGGACTGAGGGAGGAACTGAGGGAGGAACTGAGGGAGGAACTGAGGGAGGAACTGAGGGAGGGACTGAGGGAGGGACTGAGGGAAGAACTGAGGGAAGAACTGAGGAGGGAGGAACTGAGGGAGGAACTGAGGGAGGGACTGAGGGAGGAACTGAGGGAGGAACTGAGGGAGGAACTGAGGGAGGAACTGAGGGAGGAACTGAGGGAGGAACTGAGGGAGGAACTGAGGGAGGGACTGAGGGAGGGACTGAGGGAGGGACTGAGGGAGGGACTGAGGGAGGGACTGAGGGAGGGACTGAGGGAGGGACTGAGGGAGGGACTGAGGGAGGAACTGAGGGAGGAACTGAGGGAGGGACTGAGGGAGGGACTGAAGGAGTAACTGAGGGAGGAACTGAGGGAGGAACTGAGGGAGGAACTGAGGGAGGAACTGAGGGAGGAACTGAGGGAGGAACTGAGGGAGGGACTGAGGGAGGGACTGAGGGAGGGACTGAGGGAGGAACTGAGGGAGGAACTGAGGGAGGGACTGAGGGAGGGACTGAGGGAGGGACTGAGGGAGGAACTGAGGGAGGAACTGAGGGAGGAACTGAGGGAGGAACCGAGGGAGGGACCGAGGTAGGAACCGAGGTAGGAACTGAGGGAGGGACTGAGGGAGGAACTGAGGGAGGAACTGAGGGAGGAACTGAGGGAGGAACTGAGGGAGGAACTGAGGGAGGGACTGAGGGAGGGACTGAGGGAGGAACTGAGGGAGGAACTGAGGGAGGAACTGAGGGAGGGACTGAAACAGGGACTGAGGGAGGGACTGAGGGAGGGACTGAGGGAGGGACTGAGGGAGGAACTGAGGGAGGGACTGAGGGAGGGACTGAGGGAGGGACTGAGGGAGGAACTGAGGGAGGAACTGAGGGAGGGACTGAGGGAGGGACTGAGGGAGGGACTGAGGGAGGAACTGAGGGAGGAACTGAGGGAGGAACTGAGGGAGGGACTGAGGGAGGGACTGAGGGAGGAACTGAGGGAGGGACTGAGGGAGGAACTGAGGGAGGGACTGAGGGAGGGACTGAGGGAGGGACTGAGGGAGGAACTGAGGGAGGGACTGAGGGAGGGACTGAGGGAGGGACTGAGGGAGGGACTGAGGGAGGGACTGAGGGAGGGACTGAGGGAGGGACTGAGGGAGGAACTGAGGGAGGAACTGAGGGAGGAACTGAGGGAGGGACTGAGGGAGGGACTGAGGGAGGGACTGAGGGAGGGACTGAGGGAGGGACTGAGGGAGGGACTGAGGGAGGAACTGAGGGAGGAACTGAGGGAGGGACTGAGGGAGGAACTGAGGGAGGAACTGAGGGAGGAACTGAGGGAGGAACTGAGGGAGGAACTGAGGGAGGGACTGAGGGAGGAACTGAGGGAGGGACTGAGGGAGGGACTGAGGGAGGGACTGAGGGAGGGACTGAGGGAGGGACTGAGGGAGGAACTGAGGGAGGGACTGAGGGAGGGACTGAGGGAGGGACTGAAGGAGTAACTGAGGGAGGAACTGAGGGAGGAACTGAGGGAGGAACTGAGGGAGGAACTGAGGGAGGAACTGAGGGAGGGACTGAGGGAGGGACTGAGGGAGGGACTGAGGGAGGGACTGAGGGAGGAACTGAGGGAGGAACTGAGGGAGGAACTGAGGGAGGGACTGAGGGAGGAACTGAGGGAGGGACTGAGGGAGGAACTGAGGGAGGAACTGAGGGAGGAACTGAGGGAGGAACTGAGGGAGGGACTGAGGGAGGAACTGAGGGAGGAACTGAGGGAGGAACTGAGGGAGGGACTGAGGGAGGAACTGAGGGAGGAACTGAGGGAGGGACTGAGGGAGGAACTGAGGGAGGGACTGAGGGAGGGACTGAGGGAGGAACTGATCGAGGAACTGAGGGAGGAACTGAGGGAGGAACTGAGGGAGGAACTGAGGGAGGGACTGAGGGAGGAACTGAGGGAGGGACTGAGGGAGGAACTGAGGGAGGGACTGAGGGAGGAACTGAGGGAGGAACTGAGGGAGGAACTGAGGGAGGGACTGAGGGAGGAACTGAGGGAGGGACTGAGGGAGGGACTGAGGGAGGGACTGAGGGAGGAACTGAGGGAGGGACTGAGGGAGGGACTGAGGGAGGGACTGAGGGAGGGACTGAGGGAGGAACTGAGGGAGGGACTGAGGGAGGGACTGAGGGAGGGACTGAGGGAGGGACTGAAGGAGTAACTGAGGGAGGAACTGAGGGAGGAACTGAGGGAGGAACTGAGGGAGGAACTGAGGGAGGGACTGAGGGAGGAACTGAGGGAGGAACTGAGGGAGGGACTGAGGGAGGGACTGAGGGAGGAACTTATCGAGGAACTGAGGGAGGAACTGAGGGAGGAACTGAGGGAGGAACTGAGGGAGGAACTGAGGGAGGAACTGAGGGAGGGACTGAGGGAGGAACTGAGGGAGGAACTGAGGGAGGGACTGAGGGAGGAACTGAGGGAGGAACTGAGGGAGGAACTGAGGGAGGAACTGAGGGAGGAACTGAGGGAGGAACTGAGGGAGGAACTGAGGGAGGGACTGAGGGAGGGACTGAGGGAGGGACTGAGGGAGGAACTGAGGGAGGGACTGAGGGAGGGACTGAGGGAGGAACTGAGGGAGGGACTGAGGGAGGAACTGAGGGAGGGACTGAGGGAGGGACTGAGGGAGGGACTGAGGGAGGGACTGAAGGAGTAACTGAGGGAGGAACTGAGGGAGGAACTGAGGGAGGAACTGAGGGAGGAACTGAGGGAGGGACTGAGGGAGGAACTGAGGGAGGAACTGAGGGAGGGACTGAGGGAGGGACTGAGGGAGGAACTGATCGAGGAACTGAGGGAGGAACTGAGGGAGGAACTGAGGGAGGAACTGAGGGAGGAACTGAGGGAGGAACTGAGGGAGGGACTGAGGGAGGAACTGAGGGAGGAACTGAGGGAGGGACTGAGGGAGGAACTGAGGGAGGAACTGAGGGAGGAACTGAGGGAGGAACTGAGGGAGGAACTGAGGGAGGGACTGAGGGAGGAACTGAGGGAGGAACTGAGGGAGGGACTGAGGGAGGGACTGAGGGAGGGACTGAGGGAGGAACTGAGGGAGGAACTGAGGAGGAACCGAGGGAGGGACCGAGGTAGGAACCGAGGTAGGAACTGAGGGAGGGACTGAGGGAGGAACTGAGGGAGGAACTGAGGGAGGAACTGAGGGAGGAACTGAGGGAGGAACTGAGGGAGGGACTGAGGGAGGGACTGAGGGAGGAACTGAGGGAGGAACTGAGGGAGGAACTGAGGGAGGAACTGAGGGAGGGACTGAGGGAGGGACTGAGGGAGGGACTGAGGGAGGGACTGAGGGAGGAACTGAGGGAGGAACTGAGGGAGGAACTGAGGGAGGAACTGAGGGAGGGACTGAGGGAGGAACTGAGGGAGGGACTGAGGGAGGGACTGAGGGAGGAACTGAGGGAGGAACTGAGGGAGGAACTGAGGGAGGAACTGAGGGAGGGACTGAGGGAGGGACTGAGGGAGGGACTGAGGGAGGAACTGAGGGAGGAACTGAGGGAGGAACTGAGGGAGGAACTGAGGGAGGAACTGAGGGAGGAACTGAGGGAGGAACTGAGGGAGGAACTGAGGGAGGAACTGAGGGAGGGACTGAGGGAGGAACTGAGGGAGGAACTGAGGGAGGAACTGAGGGAGGAAGGAACTGAAAGAGGAACTGAGGGAGGAACTGAGGGAGGAACTGAGGGAGGGACTGAGGGAGGAACTGAGGGAGGAACTGAGGGAGGAACTGAGGGAGGAACTGAGGGAGGAACTGAGGGAGGAACTGAGGGAGGAACTGAGGGAGGAACTGAGGGAGGGACTGAGGGAGGGACTGAGGGAGGGACTGAGGGAGGGACTGAGGGAGGAACTGAGGGAGGGACTGAGGGAGGAACTGAGGGAGGGACTGAGGGAGGGACTGAGGGAGGGACTGAGGGAGGAACTGAGGGAGGGACTGAGGGAGGGACTGAGGGAGGGACTGAGGGAGGGACTGAGGGAGGAACTGAGGGAGGAACTGAGGGAGGAACTGAGGGAGGAACTGAGGGAGGAACTGAGGGAGGGACTGAGGGAGGGACTGAGGGAAGAACTGAGGGTAGAACTGAGGGAGGGACTGAGGGAGGGACTGAGGGAGGGACTGAGGGAGGGACTGAGGGAGGGACTGCTGCTTCCATCGCTAAGTTCCCACCTAAGCCCCACACTGTCTTGCCATTTGTACTGCTTCCTGTCTTTTGTTCATTTCCTTACCACTCTGTTCTCTGTTCTTACACTACTCTGTTCTGTATGCGACGTATGCACAGCCAACCAATCGCGCGACGTTCATCTGATGGAGACGAGCTGCATGGGACGCTGCTGCTTGCTGCTGTCGCCCGGGAGGATTTCTGCTCCTTTGGACGACTCACTCTCTGCGTCCTCGCTTCTCCTGTAGCTAAGTCTCCTCTCCGCTCCCCCGTCCTCCCCTCCCTTTCTCCTTGGCTATCCCCATCTCTCTCTTTCACTGCTGCCAAATTATGACTCTTGGCGCATGGTGGTGGTGGTCCGTGGTGCTATGGCAGCAGAGCTCATGTAGAGTGCAGTGTAGTGGGAGTGGTGGGATAGAGTAGTGGAGAGGGAGTGCATTCATGCCATGCGTGCGTCCCCCAGTCCCCCCTCGCTGGCTCAGCTCGCTGCTCTAGTGCCGTGGGCCACTGTCGCCATGCGCCTTCCCCGTTCCCCGTTTCCCCTCCGCCCCCCTCCCACCGCGATTCAACCACTCCATTTCCGCTGTGCTCCATTTTCAAGTTTCTCAATGCTCGCTCTTCTGCTCCACCTTGACGTTCTTGCTGCTCCCATTCATTTCAAGTTCTGGGGCCGATCCTCTTCCTTTGAATATCCTTCTCCCTGTTCCGTCTACCCCTCTGGCCTCAGGGCGAACGGAGTGCAGGGGGCAGAGCCGCACAGCGCTGGCTGCAGCAGCATGGCAGTCAACGCCAGTCAACGCCAGTCAATGCCAGTCAACGCCAGTCAATGCAGGTCAATAGTCCTCGAAACCCACGCCCATGCCATCACTGCCCTTATGGTATGATGTGCATCACTTTCACCGCACCCCGCACTCTCCTTTGCTCCTCCAATCTAGTCCATGTCCCCCCAATGCTCGTGCATGTTTCGAGTTTCGTATGGTATGATACGCGTTTCCTCTACTCATCATTCTTGTAATCTCTGCCTGCTTACATGCATTTCACTACTTTCATGCTTCTACTGACTACTTGGGTTCCTTTCCCCTGCTCTGTTTTCTTGCTCTCCTTCCCATCTCGTCTGGTGCTATGGCAGCGTGGTTCGAGGAGTGAGGGCGGTGGGATGACGCACGGCAGGCAGTCACAGCGGTGTGCGAGCCTCCTGGAAGCCTCACGCCACTGTCCTGCAAGCACCCCCATACGGCTAAGCTCCCTCTCCCTTCGCGGCTTCGCCCTTGCCATCCTTACCGCTTCTGCTTCGTGTTTATCATTGCCCACTTTTGTACCGCATTCTTCCGTCACCGCGTGCTCGAAACAAATGAGCCCATTTTCGAATGGGAGCGATCAAAAGTTGAGTGAGAGATGAGCGGCGTTTGGCGATGGTAGCGCATGGCACTGGGGCGGCTTGAGCTCATACTAGAGTCGTAGGGGGTTAGAGTAGAATGCATTCATATCCATGCTGCGTCCCTTCCTAATTTGCCTGCTAGCTCGGCGCCCTAGTGCTGTGTGCTACCATCGCCTCCCCTTTCACAGCGTCACAGTGCCACGTGCTTTTTATCTTCAACTTTCGTTTCCTCTACTCATCGTTCTTGTTATATTTGCCTCCTTGCATGCATTTCACTACTTTCATGCTTCTACTGACTACTTGGGTTCCTTTCCCCTGCTCTGTTTTCTTGCTCTCCTTCCCATCTCGTCTGGTGCTATGGCAGCGTGGTGCGGGAAGGGAGGGCGATGAGATGACGCACGGCAGGCAGTCACAGCGGTGTGCGAGCCTCCTGGAAGCCTCACGCCACTGTCCTGCAAGCATCACCATACGGCTAAGTTCCCTCTCCCTTCGCCCTTGCCATCCTTACCGCTTCTGCTTCGTGTTTATCATTGCCCACTTTTGTACCGCATTCTTCCGTCACCGCGTGCTCGAAACAAATGAGCCCATTTTCGAATGGGAGCGATCAAAAGTTGAGTGAGAGATGAGCGGCGTTTGGCGATGGTAGCGCATGGCACTCGGGCAGCTTGAGCTCATACTAGAGTCGTAGGGGGTTAGAGTAGAATGCATTCATAATCATGCTGCGTCCCTTCCTAATTTGCCTGCTAGCTCGGCGCCCTAGTGCTGTGTGCTACCATCGCCTCCCCTTTCACAGCGTCACAGTGCCACGTGCTTTTTATCTTCAACTTTCGTTTCCTCTACTCATCGTTCTTGTTATCTCTGCCTCCTTGCATGCATTGCACTGCTTTCATGCTTCTACTGACTACTTGGGTTCCTTTCCCCTGCTCTGTTTTCTTGCTCTCCTTCCCATCTCGTCTGGTGCTATGGCAGCGTGGTGCGGGGAGGGAGGGCGGTGGGATGACGCACGGCAGGCAGTCACAGCGGTGTGCGAGCCTCCTGGAAGCCTCACGCCACTGTCCTGCAAGCACCCCCATACGGCTAAGTTCCCTCTCCCTTCGCCCTTGCCATCCTTACCGCTTCTGCTTCGTGTTTATCATTGCCCACTTTTGTACCGCATTCTTCCGTCACCGCGTGCTCGAAACAAATGAGCCCATTTTCGAATGGGAGCGATCAAAAGTTGAGTGAGAGATGAGCGGCGTTTGGCGATGGTAGCGCATGGCACTGGGGCGGCTTGAGCTCATACTAGAGTCGTAGGGGGTTAGAGTAGAATGCATTCATAATCATGCTGCGTCCCTTCCTAATTTGCCTGCTAGCTCGGCGCCCTAGTGCTGTGTGCTACCATCGCCTCCCCTTTCACAGCGTCACAGTGCCACGTGCTTTTTATCTTCAACTTTCGTTTCCTCTACTCATCGTTCTTGTTATCTCTGCGACCACCCTTCCTCCCTCACGTTCACTCACCTTATCTCTATTCTCTCTCTCCTTCTGCCCCCCGATAATCACCAGGTGCCCTATTACAACCTCGGAAAATAAAAGCCTCAACGTGAGTGCCAGCCATCTGCCATCCGCGACACATGGCGTTTCATCTGCCACTAGCGTTTCATGTGCCAGTATCGTTTGAATTTGCATCTGCCACGGACCGTTTGTGCGCCCTCTGAGGCTGCTACTCATGTGCCCTGTGTGGTGCCTTCTCCTCAATATGCTTTTCGTCCATGCCATTCCTCCGCCTCCCCCCTGCCCCTGTCCCCCCTTTTGCCCGTGTCACCCCTGTCCCCCATCTCGCCCGCCCCTGCCCCTCTGCTTGCACCTCGCCCATGGCAGATATTCAACTCGCGGCTGGTGCTGGCCTCGCCAGAGACGGCCACGGATGGCGACTATGCGGCCTTAGAGGGGGTCATTGCCCACAAGGTGCGCCCTGCACGCCTTGCCTTGCCTTGCCTGCCGCCCTTCCATTGCATCTTTGCCCTTCCATTGCTGCTTTGCCTCTCCCACACCCGCTCCCATCTCCTCCCCGGCCCCGTCCCCCTTGCCCTCCCCCTCTCTCCCCTTCCCCCTCGCCGTCCCCCTCCCCTTCTCCTCTCTCGAATTCTGCTATATCCTTTACCCTTCCAGTTTTCGCTTTTGCCGTTCTACCCCACTTCTTGCTCTTGTATGCTCCAGCTATTCTGCCCCTCCCCCCCCCTTCCCCTTCCCCTTCGCCCGCCCCCTCCCCCTCCCTCCCCTGCTCCAACCTCGAATCTTGCTGTTTTGTTTACCCTTCCAGTTTTCACTTTCGCCCCTCTACCCTGCCTCTTGCTCTTGTATGCTCTAGCTATTCTGTGTGTTTCGTTTAGCGACTTCAGTGGTTCATCCAGCCTCCTCATTGTGTGCATGTGTTTTGTGTGTGTACTCGTGTGTGGGGTTGGTCGTGGTGTGCGTACGTGGAAGGGGGGAAGGGGGGGGAGGGAGGGGGGAGGAGGTCTGTGTGTGTGTGTGATGCGGGTTTGTGTGTGGGGGGGTGGGGCATGGTGTGGTGTGTGCTTTCTCTCCATTGCCCGCTGCTGCTCCACTCTGCCCCTTTAAACGCGGATCTCATGGTCTCCACTCCCTCCTCCTCGCCAGTACTTCTACAACTGGACGGGCAACAGGTGAGACTCTTGCCACACTGCAGGCCTTGCCTTGTGACTGGCCTCTGTGCTCACATGATCACACTTCTCGTCCTCTCTGCCTTCGTGCCTGGTCTCCTTGTCTGCCTCTGCCTCTTGCCCCATGCCCCCTCCCCTCTCCCCCTCGTTCCCTCTCTCGATCGTTCGCTCCTCTCCCTCTTTCTCTTTCCCCCTCTCCCCTCTGCCCCTCGCATTCTCTCCCTCATTCCCTCTCCCCTTCTCCCCTTCGTCCCCTCTCTCCCTCACTCCCTCTGCCTCTCTCCCCTTCTCTCCCCTTTCCTCGACCCCTTGCCCTCTCCCTCTGGTTTAGGGCGCCCCCTGCCAGGAAGCGCTCTGTCCTTCCCCCTCTCTCCATCCCCTCTTTCCCTCCCCCTCTTTCCCTCCCCCACTTATGTTTCCTCCTTGAGCAGGAGTGGGCGGAGCAACAGCTTGGCAGCAGGCATTGGAGCACGCCGGTTCACAAGAATAGCACATGCTTTCTGACTGCTTCTTGTGGTGGGTTTCCGCATCCACTCCCCTTCTCTTCTGCACCACCCTTGCATTGTGCATCAATACCCCTTCCAACCCCACTCTTCTTGTCGTTGTCTCTCAAGCCTTTGCCTTCCATGCCCCTTCTCTCCTTGCCCGGCAACGCAATTCGGCTATGGCTGATTCTTCAACACGAATGGGACCATAAGCTTCATTCTTGGCCTTCCACGTGCGCGGTTCACTTTCTTGTCCTCATACCTTCTCGTTTGTCTCCCGTGTGCCGTTCTCTTTCCCTCTGCTTCGTTCTGGGTGTGTTGTTGGCATGACGGGGTTGGACTGGCTAGCCAGGGATTGCGATTGCAAAGTGTTGCCAACTGGAGTGGTAATCAGATGAAGAGGTCGTCGTTGTTTGTGGAGGTGAGCAGTAAGCAACCCAACACCAGAAACAGCTTATCATATCATACCATATCATATCACATCATATCAGATCATATCATATCATACCATATCAGATCATGTACATTGTGTAGGTATCTAAACCTTGTAAATCTTGTGTCCGAATCGGACAGCACCCATAATTTCAAATCGGATCTGATTCTATCATGCAGAGAAGCTCAGCTATTGTCTGCATTACCTCCTCCTCTCGTCTGCTTGCAGGACAACCAAAGCCGATCTGTTTGGAAGGCAAGACGGAGGATGAAGACCTATGGTAGAGATGAAACAGATAGGATATCATAACATAGCTTGCCTAGGCTGGTAACACCCTCAGGTATGGGATCCCCCGTCTCCCCCTCAACCTCCATATATCCCCCCCCCCTCCCTTGATGTTTCCTCTCTGCCCCGCTCCCTCCCCCCCCCCCCCCTTGCATAGGACTCCCCCCACACCCCTCTTGTCCTGTCCCTACTTCCCCCCTCCACCAACTTCCCCTGGAACCCACCTCCTTCTGCGATCCGCCTCCCCTTGGGACGCACCCACCTCAGCAACCCCCTGCGAAGGGGCTGACCACAGGGCTGACCACAGGGCTAACGACAGGGCTAAACACAGGGCTGACCACAGGGCTGACCACAGGGCTGACCACAGGGCTGACCACAGGGCTGACCACAGGGCTAACGACAGGGCTAAACACAGGGCTATTCGCAGGGATAACCTCGGGTGCTATCTAACCACAGGGCTTACGACAGGGCTATTTACAGTGCTAACCACAGGGGTTACCACAGGGCGATTTGCAGTGCTAAACACAGGGGTTACCACAGGGCGATTTGCAGTGCTAAACACAGGGGTTACCTACCACAGGGCTGACCACAGGGCTCTTTACAGGGCTTTTAACAGGTGCTAACCACAGGCCTTACTTGCCACAGGGCTATTTGCTGCTAACCACAGTGGTTACCACAGGGCTATTTGCAGTGCTAATCACAGGGCCGACCACAGGCTAACCACAGGGTTAACCTCAGCGCTTGCACACGGATTACAGGGATGTGCACTGGGAATACTAACCATAGGGCCTTTGCACCAAAACACAGTACCACAGGTTTGTGCATGTGAGCATGCTAACAGCGAATGATCATTGGGCCCAGGGCTTGAATGTCAAGGCGAAATAATGACAGCGCTAGAGCATCAGGGCAGGCTAACAACAGGGCTGGTGCACTAGGCTAGCACTGTGCTGTGCATTGGATTACATGACTGTGCATTTGAACAGGCTACCCACAGTCCGTACCTCCAGTCCCTACCTCCGTTCATGGCAGCATGCCCGTTCATGGCAGCATGCCCGTCTATTGCAGCGTGTGCTATCATGCAATCATGACAGCGTGTGCGTGTGTGTGCTTTTGTATTTCTCCGTGCATCAACAGTTTCAGGACGGCAGGTACTCTTCAGTGCAGCCCATGGTGATCTCAATGCCAGGGCGAGATACATATTTTCAAAAAACATTATTTGTAACGGCATAGAAACCTACTGTACTGTTCATGAAATGTTGTTCAACTTGGTAGGTTGGAAATCTATGCTTTCAGTAGATTACCGTATTTCAATATTCATTTATGGTATCCTACTTGGTATTTTAGGGTAATTTTTGTTGTGAATGGTTATCTGAAGAACATTGTAGGGACTATATTTTAGCGCCATCTCCTTTCCACAACGAATTATCGGCATGGTCTCCTCATTTTCGATATTATTTAGTGGTGCCTAATTTCCTACCACTATTTACCTGGTTCTTAACTGACGCGATGGGAGCCAGGGTCGCAGGAATTCAGTGCGGTGCGGCTCGGTCCCAACGGTCTTGTTCTGTATGGTTAGGATCCGAAAGCGGAGCAGCGCGCGAGGCGTTATGCCGAGCCGATCCCTCACAGCGACCTCACGCGACAACCGTCGCATGTGCGACGGCAGGCACAGACGCGTATCGGCATCGCGCATGCGTCGCAAGGAGCCATGCCGTCGACGATCCATACCTGACAGTCAGAGCGCGACGGAAACATGATTCACATCGAGGCTTTCCGAGTGCATCGAGCAGCTCTCGAAGCAGCATCAGCAGCACAGCGTCGAGCCGGATACTGTTTCTTGGAACTGGTTACCATATTGCTGGTTACAGCGGTACTGCTTCGAGCAGCAGTGGAGGCAGAGAGCGGAGGAGAGGGAGAAGAGGCGTGATCACTGCAGCTGCTGCATCGTCTGGCAGGCCGTCAGCCGACGACGGCTCAAATTTAAGATCGCTAGTGCAAGCAGCAGTAGATTTTCTCGAGGTGCGCTTGTAGGGAGACGGCGAGGAAGAGTGCATTGCATAGCATCGCTTCCCCATTTCCCACTCTCTCTAACCCACCCGCAGGGCCAGATTCTATCCATGCTTTCAGATTCTCCATTTTCCTCCCGGTTGTCGTGTTGTTCGTGGGTTGGTCTCCAAGCTTTACCATCCCCTCCCGTAGCTCGCCCCTCCACCCCATCTGTGGCAGAAGCGGGGTTTGTAAAGGCTCTGCTGCTGCTGATAGGCTTAATCACTCACCCCCATTCCCCAAGGCATCACACCTCCCTTTCCTACTCCCCACTCCCTATTCCGCTTTTCTCAGTTTGCCTGATGGTGCTGGTGCTGCTGGCAGGTGTGGTGTCTCCCTGAGCTGTATTCCCTGCATCTCACCCCTTCCCCACAACAACCACAACTTCTTTTCCCACTCCCTACTCCCCACCCTCCCCCCTTCTCAGCGTCGCTGGCGCAACGTGAGGAGGAGGGTGTTTGTGAAGGTGCTGGTGCTGCTGGCGGGGTTCTTCTCAGCCAACGCGCTCTCCACCATCGTGGGGCAGACGGGCGACTGGGACGTGCTCGTTGCCGGCTCCCTCGTCGCCTCCCTTGAACTCCTCGGCGCCTGCCTCTACCGCCTCCGCCTGCGCGCTGCCTCCGCTGCTGCTGCTGACGCCGCGAAACTCGCAGCCAAGAGCGCAGCAGCGGCAGGAAGAGGAGGAGGAGGAGGGGGGAGGGTGGGAGCAGGAGAGGGGAAAGCGGCTGGGGTGACGGGGTCGGGTGGGGAAGTGGAGGGTGATGGAGTGGAGAAGGGGGAGGGTGGATTGATAGATGCTGTGGCGCTGGTGAATTTCTGGAAGGCAGGCATCATATTGGGCCTGTTTGTGGACGCTTTCAAGGTTGGGAGCTGAGAAAGACGTGATTGAATATTAGAGCTGATTCAAGGTGTAAGTTCCTGAGGAGAGGCGTCACAATAGAGTCGTGCTGCACTGTTTCTTTTGCGATGCGGGGTTTTCCAACGCGCACCAGAAATGTACCCAAACAAGGCTCGACGATGAACGTCGTAAGGGTTGCGTAGAAGCTGAAAACCATACTAAAGATCAATACAGCACACACATATATATATATATATATATATATATAATAAAGTCATTTTGCTCATTTGTTTTTCCTTCCTCTTAGGTATATCCGTATTCTTCTCCCACCCTTTACAGTCGTTTCGTATTGTAAATATTGCATTTGGTTCTCTTATCTCACACATAATGCCCAATTATGTGGATTTACGACTAAATAATATCAGCATGTATTATGTGTTTACTTATGTTGAAAACATGTGTTTTACTAACTCTGCTTTTATGGGAAACGTTCGTTTCGTTTTTCGCTTTCGTCTCGTTTTCTGGAGCTGACGCAAACTACACATGAAGTGTACAGTCGTGCATCAGCTGAGTCAGCTGAATTCACGTGCTCACACATGTGAAACCACCCCGATAACCCAACCCAGCCAAGAACAAGAAACTAGTTCTTTCCACTCACGCTAGTCCATCACGCTAGTACCATCACGCTAGTACCTCATGCTACTGCTAGTACCTCGCGGATTACCCCGTACTACCTCACGCTAATACCACACGCTAGTACGAACGTCAGCTCCTTATTCTGTGACAAGCGCCCGTGACCATGAAACCGCTCGTGGAAAACGCCCCTGACAAGCGTCCGTGACAAACGACATGTTTCGTGAGTACAAAGTGATAGGCGCGTTAAGTGTTAGGTGGTCATCGTCAACCCTTGGCGCCTTAGACGCAGGCGCCTTGGCGCCGTATTGCTGGAGCCTTGGCGCCTTAAACGCTGGCGCCTTGGCGCCTTAAACGCAGGCGCCTTGGCGCCTTAAACGCAGGCGCCTTGGTGCCTTAATCGCTGGCGCCCTTGCGCCATGAGCGCTGGCGCCTTAAACGCAGGCGCCTTGGCGCCTAATTGCTGGAGCCTTGGCGCCTTAAACGCTGGCGCCTTGGCGCCTTAAACGCAGGCGCCTTGGCGCCTTAAACGCTGGCGCCTTGGCGCCTTAAACGCAGGCGCCTTGGCGCCTTAAACGCAGGCGCCTTGGCGCCTTAAACGCAGGCGCCTTGGCGCCTTAAACGCAGGCGCCTTGGCGCCTTAAACGCAGGCGCCTTGGCGCCTTAAACGCAGGCGCCTTGGCGCCTTAAACGCAGGCGCCTTGGCGCCACGCAGGCGCCTTGGCGCCTTAATCGCTGGCGCCTTAAACGCAGGCGCCTTGGCGCCTTAAACGCAGGCGCCTTGGCGCCTTAAACGCAGGCGCCTTGGCGCCTTAAACGCTGGCGCCTTGGCGCCTTAAACGCTGGCGCCTTGGCGCCTTAAACGCTGGCGCCTTGGCGCCTTAAACGCTGGCGCCTTGGCGCCTGAAACGCTGGCGCCTTGGCGCCTCAAACGCAGGCGCCTTGGCGCCTCAAACGCAGGCGCCTTGGCGCCTCAAACGCAGGCGCCTTGGCGCCTCAAACGCAGGCGCCTTGGCGCCTCAAACGCAGGCGCCTTGGCGCCTCAAACGCAGGCGCCTTGGCGCCTCAAACGCAGGCGCCTTGGCGCCTTAATCGCTGGCGCCCTTGCGCCATGAGCGCTGCAGGCGCCTTGGCGCCTTAAACGCAGGCGCCTTGACGCCTTGATCGTTGGCGCCTTAACGCGCTTGCGCCTTGCAGCCCGCTGGCAGCTTGTGCGCCGCTGCTGCCTTGTTGCGGCAACGCGCTGGCAAATTATTGTGCACGCTCAAGTGTTGCTGCAGTGAGCTCACGCCTTGCTGCAGCGAGCTCACGCCTTGCTGCAGTGAGCTCACGTCCTGCTGCCGTGTGCTCATGCCTTGCTACGGCAGCCCGCTTTCTCTTCTCAGCCTGCCGGTGCCTTGCTGCAACTCTCTGCCGCCTTGTAGCGTGGCGATGCCCAGCTCGTTGCTCGCTGGAGCCTCGTTGTGCACCAGCGTGGTGTGCGTGACCTCAGGGGATCTCTGTTTCAAACCACGCTTGTGAGTCGTCAAACCCGGTTTTTTTCGTTGCAAGACTTGCCTTTCATTTCTGTTTTGTATCAATGTTCATCAGTACTTTCATTTTGTACTTATTAGATTTCAACACACACGTGCTTATTAAGTTCTGTTTCACAATCTAATATGTGCTCGTCATTGAATACTTCACTGCGTTCTCCGACGACAATTCATTCTTACTTAACATTTTTGTTTCGCAAGGTGTACAAGACGCATTGTGTGGAGCAAGGAGGGGAACGCAAGAGAGAAGACAATGTGGAAAAGGGTGGGAGGAGATTTTGATGGTACAGGGAGAGGAGGGAAGGCGGAAAGAGGGAGGAAGGGGGGTCAAGCTAGCAGTGATCGATACATAATAATATGATTGCAACTCTTTGTTATGCTTGTCTGCTCTCAATCCTAATTGTGTATGCATGTATGTGCGGGTGTGTTTGTGCGGGTCGGTTTGTGCGGGTCAGTTTGTGCGGGTGTGTTCATGTCAATTGGTTGTTTCACGGGGGGTTGTTGTGCTGATATGCACCGTGTTTGTGATTTGAGGTTGTCATCGTCGTTGGGGCAGCGTGTTTTCGCTGTTTCAACGACCCCATCAATCTCAGTTGCAGCATTGGTGTATATTGAGCACCCACTTCGATTCGTTCACAATCGTTACGCGATGTTGCACCCTTTTACGAGCGTTTGCATTTGTGTTTGTGGGATGTGTGCTTCAAAGTGTGGTGTTACTTTGTGCCATGTATGCAATTAGAGGTTGTTAATCGTCTTTGGGGCAGCGTGTTTTCGCTGTTTCAACGACCCCATCAACCTCTATTGCTATATGGTGCATCTTAACATTCATTTTGAAGCAACCACTCCACTTGTTCATCTGTACAACTGCATTCGTGCATGTTGATACCAGAATATTATGTTTGACCGTACCATCCGCCGTATTTATCGACGATGCTGGGACGGTCGAGCAAGTTCATGGTTTCAACATGATTCGTACGGTATTTGGTTTCACATATGGGAATCTCATTTGAGAGTGCTTTTATTCACTATTTGAAGCATCCGTTTGAACCCAATTTCAAACATTCAAACGCGTACTCCAAAAAGTGTGTAAAATATCACTGTTCAAATGATATCCCCAAAATGTGAAACCAAATATAAAGGGTTGCTACGCAACCCAAAAATGTTATGGTCCAATTTATTCCATTACAGTGGGGAAAAAGGTGACTCCATGCACAGCACAATGTTTGGCCAGTCTAATTAAATCTCTATCAATGAGGGCTAGATCACAGCCACATGTCCAGCCATGATAAAAAAATATGAACACAAATACGGTAGGAGGGTGTAACTCAACCGAGGGCTGGATCCTGCAATCGCAATCAACCGCGCCTCACAAAGCAGAACCTCGACACTACCTAACCCGTCTTGTTAATCAACCAGTCGCCGTCGCACCCGACGGCAAAAACGGGTTTTTGTCCCCAGACTACCGGTCAAGCTGCCGGCTAGCCGTCTTACACGCTCCACATGGCTTCTGGCTCCACAGGCGCGCGGGACTTGGGCGTTCCGCATTTCGACCCCAGCAGGTCCGCGCGCAGCAGGCGGAGACACCCACGAGAGGGGACGGGGTTGGAGTGCGAGAAGGGAATTTCGTCTCGCGGGAGGTCCCATGTCACGCTGCGCGCGCGGCGATGAAAAGCCCGCGGATCCGCGCCGGCAGCGCGCCTCGGCGTGCCGCAGCGCGAGCCGAGAAGATCGCATCGCGCGAGCTTCATTAAACGGCCTGTGCCGGAATCGGAGCAGCTTCTGGGAAACTTCACGGAGGGAGATGGCGCCGCGTCGTCGAGGCAGGGTTGCGAGCGCGCCGTCGTTTCGCGCGGAGCGGGGCTGCTGCTTGGGGAAAGATTTTCCCCGCTGCGCGAGCAAACTTCGGAGGGAGACGTATACGACCGGTCGACTGCTGGAATGTGATAGGTTGGCGCTGAGGTCTCGGGTTGGCACGTGGCGGAACGGACGGCGGACGGGGGCGGGGCAGAACTGGCGGAAGCGGCGGAAGATGCGGACGCGGCGGAAGCGTGGTGGAAGAGGAAACGCGGAGTGCCGCAGCGGGAGCCGAGCAGCAGGCGGCGGTGCTCGTGCAGCGATGGCGAGGAGCGGTGCTCTTCGGGGAAATCGGAGATGCAGTCCGGCGGAGACGGTATGGCGACGGCGAGGTGCCGCTTCTCCGCCCACTCGCGAAGCCGCGGACAGAGAGCCGTCGGATTCGGGGCGTGGCACGCCATCATCGGACGGTCGGTAAGAGGCGAATTAGAGCTGTGACGGGACGAAGGGGGAAAGATAGTAGAACTCGAAGGTAGAGGGCGACGGAGGAATCAGATGGCTGACAATGCTGAAGAAACCTTTTCCAAATATGTAGGAGGATCTCTGGAGTCTGGATAATGCAACGGCGGAGCTCCCTGGGATCTTTGGAGTCTGGACCATGCAACTGCGGATCGCAAAAACCGAGCTACTTGAACGCACTAACCGTGGATGGTCCTTTGCTGACCAACGAAGGACCGCATTTGGTAAAGTCTGGGAGGTTGTGAAGTTAGTAGGCCCGTTCGGATTTGGATGTATTTGTGACCAACTAAGGACCTCCTAGGGAATCCGAAGCAGTAGTGTAGCGTGTGATCGTTGGTACGACAGCGCGGCAAAGAAGCTGCTCTGAAAAGGCGCCACGCCATCGCTGCCAGCAGCATCTTGCGTCTAATGCAATCTGGGAATGAGCTTTTTGATCAATAACAACCTGGCCATAGCGTGGGATCTAGTGGAAGAGAGCAGATCCCATAGATAAATACTTACCGACCCACCTTCATAATCTTTCTGCCCAGGAAGACAGGGTGGAGCCAGGGTGTTTATTTTCCTAATCGTTTTAAAGTGGAATGCAACAGTTGAGTATGGATTTCCAGTTACTGTGCCAAACCAGCTGCGATGAAAGTGCGCCAATCAGCCCCACGGGGAAACCAGCGGGAAACGAACGATTCGGCTCGCACTTTTCGTCATTATCGTCACTCGTTAACCAATCGTGGTCCTGCTCACCAAGCACTATCTGCTAACAAAATGGCGTTTCGCTGAGCCTCGCAAGGAATTGTGGTTACAAGAAAACCGTCGTGCTGAGCACAGTCGACGAAAAGTGGGTCAAATAAGCAAACACGCGATGTTACCCGATGCCACAGGTCAGGTCCTCAAGCGGTGGAAAACTTTCCACCTCATCCAGATTTTGCCAGGTGGGGGAAGCATATGATTCTGTACCTACTGCCCATCTGCCCAGAAACATAGACCCGCCGCTGAGGCGAATCTTGGTGTGTTGGGTTCTCTCCCTGTCACGAATGCTGCCAGCCACTGGAAGGGTGGCGGATCAGAGAAGGATTTTGCCATTCCGTCTTGTCTGGGGCTCCTTCTGAGGTGGTGTCGCTCGTGAGTCGTGGTGATCCGCGAGGGAAATATGCCCGCTGCATAATCCGTCCCGAGATTTCAATAGCACGGTGTGCTTTATTGCGATTATATATAGATTGGATTAGGCATTTCATGCTACCCTTCATTTCACAACTGGTTCTGTGAAGCCATCCATGAGTAGTGCTAAATTGAGGCGAGCACTCTCATAAATAAGCATCTGCGTTGATTAACCGCGAACCCGTGCTTAAACGTGAATTTAAGCTTCCTACAGATTTAATACACCTTGTCCAGCGATTCAGTCCAATGCGAATTTCTGACCAAAACCCTCAACCAAACCAACCAGGCAACCCACCAATATCACCACCACACCCTTCACCTCACCACCAACCCCCATCAATACACAACATATCCTAGGATGCAGGAACTTGCACGGGTGGCGAACCAGTTACCCCCGGCACAGACCCAGCTGCAACGCCAGGAAAGTCAGCAGCAGGGAAGACAGCAGCAGGGCGGGCAGAGAGCCTGAGCCTGAGGTTATCCAGTGAGGCCGCAACGGCCTGTGTGTCCCGCCGTAGCCTCAGCAGAGTCTCCAACACATCATCACTACCCTCCTTGCCCTCCACGCCCTCCTTGCCCTCCCTGCTCTCCCTGCTCTCCCTGCCCTCTTTGCCTTCCTTGTCAACCGCACTGCTGCCACTGGTACCTCCGCCGCCGCTGCTGCAAGGTGTAACCCAAGTGTTACCCAAACTGCTGTGGCTAGCACCTCCTCTGCTGCTCACACTTCTGCTGAAAGTGCTGCTGATGGGGGACTCTGCACCTGGACTGCGTCCCACCGAGCCTAGCCCAGAGGATGAACAGCTGTCTGAAGAGGCAGGAGCGCTTGCAGAGGCAGTGGAGGAAGGGAGGTGGTTCAATGCGTCAGCATCCCGTAGCTTATCGTCTGCAGCTCTGTCCGCTTCATGCCTCGCGCTCCCTCTGCTGCTACCACCGTCCTTGCTGCCCGTAGATGCTCCTGCTAAGTCCTCACCCACAGAGCCCTCACCTGCTGACCCTTCACTTGAAGGCCCCTCGCTTGAAGCCCCCTTACTTGTTGACTGCTCACCAAGCCCTGCCACGCCCGCACCTCCTACACACGCTGCCGCTGCTGCTGCATCTGGAGCTGCCACTGCCTCCGCTGCCACTGCCTCTGCTGCCACTGCCGCCGCTGCTGCTGACTCTGCAGCATCAGCTGAGTCCTCTCTGCAGCAAGGTGCGTCACCACCACGACCTCTGCCCGCATCAGACGACAAACCTGACGTCTCTGCACCGCAACGCACAGCGCTCCACTCCACTCTGTCCACCTCACCTTCACTATCCTTCTTGCCTGCACTGCCCGTTCCACCTGCCCCATCAGCTCGGCCACAGTCTCCCTCAGGGAACGCTGAGCCTTTCCTCAGGACTGATCTCGACCGCTCGAGAACCTTTCGGGCCGCTTCCGTGGCAGCAGCAGCGGCTGCCATGGCGTCTGCTGCAGCTCTGCCTGATGTGGTGGCGCGGAATGAGGTGGGCAGGTCCCCCGTGGACCCAGAAGCACTACTACTGGGGGATGCACGTGCAGCAGCAAGGGTTGAACCAGTGAGGTGTGCAGTATCGGCTGAGGCATTTCCGAAAGAGTCACTGCTTGCACTGCTCATCATGCTGCCAGCTCGCTCCATCCCAGCATCTGCTACTCGACCCCCCTCCTTGTCACCCTCCCCTTCCATCTGTCTGCTGCCCTTCCCCCGGCCATGCATGTCTGGAGAGGAGAGGTTGACCTCTACTGTTTCATCACTCTGCTCTTCTTTCCTTTCCTCTGCCGTTTGCTCTGCTAGCTTCTCCCTGCCCTCTTTCCGTTCCTCTGCTTGTTGCGCATCCCTGTCCTCCTCTGCTCCGCTTCTGCAACTCCAGCTGCTGCTCTCCCTCCTACCTTTGCCCTCACTTTCCACGTCAGCACCCTCCACGTCAGCACCTTCCATGTCAGCATCATCCACGAGATCTGCCAGCTGCTCCCATATCGAATCGCCCACATGATCCGAATTCTCTTCAAAAATACCAGTCTCCGGATTCTCATGGGATGAGCCTCCACATGTGGCACGCTGAGAGGCTGGGGCAGCTGCAGCATCCCTCACACCTCCCTCATTCGCGCCCTCACCACTCGCACCCTTTTCACTCACACTCCCCTCACTCACACCCCCCTCACTCTCTTCATCCCCACGCCTACCGTTTGCTACATCCGTCTCTTCCTCCCCCTCTTGCTCCCCATCGGCCTCCGCCCTCTCATCAGACTCCCCTTCTGCCTGCCCCGCCTGCTCCTGCTGCTCCTGCTGCTGTTGAGCCTGCTGCTGCGCCTTAGCCTGTTCAAAGTCCCGCAGCCACTGCTCCTTCTTCTCCTCCCACTCCCTCTCCAAAGACACCACGCGCGCCTTAGCCTGCTCCCTCAGCTCCTGCAACCGCCCTGCCTCGTTGCCCGCCCAACTCGCCCTGATAGAGGGGAGGGAAAGGGGGGGGGTGGGGGGAGGAATGGCGGGGGAAAAAAAGAGGGTAACGGCGAGGCCAAGTTATGAGAGAGGGTAAAACCTGTTCTGGCCTCTCTTCCGCCAATCTCCACTACCTCTCCCCTCTTCTCTTTCCCCTTCTTCTCCTCCCCCTCTCCCCTCTTCTCTTTCCCCTTCTTCTCCTCCCCCTCTCCCCTCTTCTCTTTCCCCTTCTTCTCCTCCCCCTCTCCCCTCTTCTCTTTCCCCTTCTTCTCCTCCCCCTCTCCCCTCTTCTCCTCCCACTCCCTCTGATTCATTTTCCTCGCTCTCTCTCCCCTTCTTCCCCAGCACTCTCCCCTTCCTCTATTTCCACTTTCTTCCCAGCAGCACGTCACACGTACCCTGAAGCGGCCTGCCGGTGAAGATTCGGTGCACTGCCACGCCCCCCCTGCTGCTGCTGCTGCTGCTGCTGGTACTGCTGCTGCTGCTGCTGCTGCTGATACTGCTGCTGCCCCCCACTGCCCCGGGCAGCCGAAAAAGAGTGCATCGGGGAAGTTCCCGCCACTGTATTCCGGGCAAAAGACGAGTAGCTACTGCTGCGATTGGGCACGTTTCGGAAACTACCCGTGGGCGAGAGGTACGAGGCGTACCCCTGAGACGCTCTGAACCCCCCTGCACCCCTCTGCACCCCCATGGCTCTCCCTCCCGCGGGTGCAGTGCAGGGGCAGGGGGGGAGGCGGGCGCGTAGGGTATCAAAAACAGCCCGCTTGTTGCTGTCTGTCAGTATTGTGTGCGCCTTGGGGGAAGGAGATGGGGGAGAGCAGCGGGAGGGGGAGGGGATGGTGGTAAGGGAACGGGAAAAGTGGGGGGAGGGGGGATTGTGGGTTACAATACAGCTCGCTTGTTGCTCTCTGCCAGTTCTGTATGCGATGAGGTGGTGATCGTAGAGACAATGCAATGAGAGTCACGATATGAAATGAGAGCTTCGCTAAAAGAGCATCACTGAGAGAGTCTCGTCATAAGGCTCACCTCTTTGACATAGCGAAACGCTGCTTCGGCCTTCTGTGACTTGTTCTTATCCGGATGCAGCAGGAGCGCTGAGAAGGAGGGAAGGAAAGAGGAGGCGGAGTGGGAAGACGGCGAGAGGAGAGGAGGAGGGCAGAGGAGAGAGGTTGAAAATCCAAGAGGAGGGAACGAGGGGGAATTAAAGGTCAGACCCAGGGTTCTCGTCAGTCATTCTCACAGAATCCACGGTTCCGGTCTGACTGTGCCTCAGCTTAACTCACAGACCCTGAAAAGCAGTCACTATACGGTCCAGAGCGCGAGCTGTGCGAGTGGGCTGCGGGAAACGCACCTAGCTGTCGGTACCGCTTCTTGATTCTGCCTTCGTCCGTCCGCGCATCCACCTGACGGACAGAAAGAGCGCAGCCGCCATGTTAGGTGGTACACGGTGGTACATGGAGGTTCAAAGAGGTTCAGGTTGGAAATGCAACGCAAAGCCTGCTGTTGATTTTTGGACAGTCTCAAAACTCGCGTCCACTTGAGGGACGGAAAGAGCGAGCAGCGACCATGCCAGGGAGGTAAGCAAGCGCTGTTCTTGAGACGTCTGGGAACACGAGCAGTGCTCTTAAACACCCTCGCGCGCGCATCATCCCGAGGCTCATGGCGTGCTTCGACGAACGTAACCGCCGAGCAAAATTGACGATCGTAACTGACGAGCGAAATTGACGATCGTAACTGACGGGCGAAATTGACGATCGTAACTGACGAGCGGACGCGCATACCTGGAGCACCCCGAACCAATCCACGTAGTCCTTGGGAAGCGGGCCAATGGGACGGCGACACCTCGGACACTCGGGCGTGTAGCCGACAGCGGCGAGAACCTGAGCCACGGCGAGCAGCTCAGCCAATCCCTTGGCGCCAGGTGTCGTCCGCTCGAGCTTCACGAGTAGCGCGAGTGCGTTGTCTGCACGGGATTGTACTAGTAACGATTCTGCTTGTACGAGGACAGCCGCGGCTGCCTCCTGCTCACTTCGAGAGGCCATTTGCGAAGGTTACGAATTGGCAGTGCTATTGACGTCGGGTGCGGACGGATATCGAATTATGATCCTAGCGCTGCTACTGACGCAGGTCGTGACGGCGGCCGTAAGGCTGGTTGTAACGCCGTAAGACACGCTGCTTGCTACGAGGGGACTGCAGCAGGAGGAATGGCAAACAGAACAGCGCACCGCAACGGTAATTAATCGGCCCTGAGGAGTGACTGACCTAACAATTTAGCTGTGAGAGGAGAACGCGTGTGTAGATACGCGCTATTGCACGCAACACTTTTTGAGAGTTTGAGCCGTGAAGCGACTGCAGAAATCGCGAGGCCCAAGCCGAGGCTCAAAGCCACGACACCTGCCTGCCAAGCCATCAAAACCCGATACCCGAACCGAGAGGTCGGCTCGGAGGGTTCGAGGGTTGAGCGACGGTAGCGAGAAAAAGCAGGGTGTATGGTTCGGCGATGCCGAAGCAAACCTGACACACCGCCTGGCAAGCCCGGCCGGAAAAGTAGGTCAACGTGGCAGATTTTCGTTAGCCGAGCTCCGAAGTACGAACAGAGTCTCCAAGAAAATTAACTTCATCATACAAGCTACTATGGTACAGCACTGCTCTTGCGCTCTTACAATTTTCCTCTTCATGGCATATTTCAGAAAGCACATCATGGCAAAGATGGAAGCTGTAATAACGTGCACAAACCTGTGGTTAGCGTGCCCTGGTGCAAAGACCATACGGTTAGTATTCCCAGTGCACATCCCTGTAATCTGTGTGCGCTGGTGCACAAGAGCTGAGATCAACCCTGTGGTTAGCTTGTGATCAGCCCTATTGTAGCCCCTGTGATTAGCACTGCTAATAGCCATGTGGTCAGCCCTGTAATAACCCCTGAGGTTAGCACTGTAAATAGCCCTGTGGTAAGCCCTGTGGTTAGCACCTGTAATTAGCCCTGTAGATAGCCCTGTGGGTCAGCCCTGTGGTAACCCCTGTGATTAGCACTGTACATGGCCCTGTGGTAAGCCCTATGGTTAGGACCTGTAATTAGCCCTGTAAATAGCCCTGGGTTTAGCCCTGTGGTCAGCCCTGTGGTAACACCTGTGATTAGCACTGTTCATAGTCCTGTGGTAAGCCCTATGGTTAGCACCTGTAATTAGCCCTGTAAAAAGCCCTGTGTTTAGCCCTGGGGTCAGCCCTGTGGTAACCCCTGTGATTAGCACCGTAAATAACCCTGTCGTAAGCTCTGTGGTTAGCTAGCACCTGTGATTATCCCTGTGGGGTCAGCCTGTGGTCAGCCCTGTGGTCAGCCCTGTCGTTAACCCTGTGGTTAAGGCCTACGCAGGGGTTGCTGAGGTGGGTGGGTCCCAAGGGGAGGCAGGTCGCAGAAGGAGGTGGGTTACAGGGGGAGGCACGCAGAAGGGCAATCCATGGGGGAAGGGGGTGGAGGGGGAAGTAGGGACAGGGGAAGAGGGGTGTGGGGGGAGTCCTATGCAGGGGGAGGGGAGGGAGCGGGGCAGAGGGAAAACATCAAAGAGGGGGGAAGGGGGGGGGGGGGTGTGTGGGATATTTGGGGGTTGAGGGGGAGAGGGGAGATACCATACCTGAGAGTGTTACCAGCAGAGGCAATCTATCTAATCATATCCTATCTGCTTCATCTCTACCATAGGTCTTCATCCTCCGTCTTGACCTCCAAATGGATCGGCTTTGGTTGTCCTGCAAGCAGACGAGAGGAGGAGGTAATGCAAACAAGAGCTGAGCTTCTCTGCATGGTAAAATCAGATCCGATTTGAAATGAAGGGTGTCACCGGGCACATGATTTACAAGGTTTAGATACCTACACAATGTACATGATCTGATATGTTACTATATGATACGATTTGATCTGATATGATATGATATGATGTGATATGATATGGTATGATATGATATGCTGTTTCTGGTGTTGGGTTGCTTAATGCTCACCTTCACAAACAACGACGAGCACTTCATCTGATCACCACTCCAGTTGGCAACACTTCGCAATCGCAATCCCTGGCTAACCAGTCCAACCCCATCAAGTCAACAACACACCCAAAACGAAGCAGAGGGAAAGAGAAGGGCACATGAGAGACAAACGAGAAGGTATGAGGACAAGAAAGAGAACCGCGCATGTGGAAGGCCAAGAACGAAGCTTATGGTCCGATTTGTGTTGAAGAATCAGCCATAGCCGAATTGCGTTGCCAGGCAGGGAGAGAAGGGGCATGGAAGGCAAAGGCTGGAGAGACAACGACAAGAAGAGTGGGGTTGGAAGGGGTATTGATGCACAATGCAAGGGTGGTGCAGAAGAGAAGGGGAGTGGATGCGGAAACCCACCACAAGAAGTAGTCAAAAAGCATGTGCTATTCTTGTGTACCGGCGTGCTCCAATGCCTGCTGCCAAGCTGTTGCTCCGCCCACTCCTGCTCAAGGAGGAAACATAAGTGGGGGAGGGAAAGAGGGGGAGGGAAAGAGGGGGAGGGAAAGAGGGGGAGGGAAAGAGGGGGAGGGAAAGAGGGGAGGGAAAGAGGGGGAGGGACAGAGCGCCCCCTGGCAGGGGGCGCCCTAAACCAGAGAGAGAGGGCAAGGGGTCGAGGAAAGGGGGAGAGAAGGGGAGAGAGGCGGAGGGAGTGAGGGAGAGAGGGTACGAAGGGGAGAAGGGGAGAGGAAATGAGGGAGAGAATGCGAGGGGCAGAGGGGAGAGGGGGGAAGAGCAAGAGCGAGAGAGCGAGCGACGGTGAGGGGGGACAAGGGGGAGAGGGGAGGGGACATGGGGCACGAGGCGGAGGCAGACAACACGAAGGCAGATAGCACGCGAAGTGTGATCATGTGAGCACAGAGGCCGGCGACAAGGCAAGGCCTGCAGTGTGGCAAGAGTCTCACCTGTTGCCCATCCCGTTGTGGAAGTACTGGCGAGGAGGAGGGAGTGGAGACCATGAGATCCGCGTTTGAAGGGGCAGAGTGGAGTAGCAGCAGGCAATGGAGACACAGCACACACCACATCATGCCCCACCCCCTCACCCTCATAAGTGGGAAAGGCATGTGAAAAGGATTGTGAAGAGAGAGGAGAGGAGAGGAGAAATAACGCATCTAAAGGTAGAAGAGATGCTGACAGGAAAGCTGACAAAAGGGAAATTGGGGGCAGAGAAGAAGAGGCCTGAGCGATGAGCATTACCATTAGAGAGGCTTGAGCGATGAGCATTACCATTAGAGAGGCCTGAGCGATGAGCATTACCATTAGAGAGGCTTGAGCGATGAGCATTACCATTAGAGAGGCTTGAGCGATGAGCATTACCATTAGAGAGGCTTGAGCGATGAGCATTACCATTAGAGAGGCTTGAGCGATGAGCATTACCATTAGAGAGGCTTGAGCGATGAGCATTACCATTAGAGAGGCTTTGGCGATGAGCATTACCATTAGAGAGGCTTGAGCGATGAGCATTACCAGAGGCTGGTAGCCCATCCTGTTGCCATGATACCATGAGATCCCCGTTTGAAGGGGCAGAGTGGAGCAGCAGCGGGCAATGGAGACACAGCACACACCACACCATGCCCCACCCCCTCACACACCAACCCGCATCACACACACGCACACAGACCTCCTCCCCCCTCCCTCCCCCCCCTTCCCGCCCCTTCCCCCCTTCCACATACGCACACCACGACCAACCCCACACACCCGCACACACACGAAACACATTCACGCAACGAGGAGGCTGGATGAACCACTGAAGTCGCTAAACGAAACACACAGAACAGCTGGAGCATACAAGAGCAAGAGGCGGGGTAGAGAGGCGAAAGTGAAAACTGGAAGGGTAAACGAAACAGCAAGATTCGAGGTTGGAGCAGGGGAGGGAGGGGAGGGGGCGGGCGAAGGGGAAGGGGAATGGGAAAGGGGGGGAGGGGCAGCTTAGCTGGAGCAGACAAGAGCAAGAGGCGGGGTAGAGCGGCAAAAGCGAAAACTGGAAGGGTATACGAATTAGCAGGAGGTTCGAGAAGGGAGGAGAAGGGGAGAGGGAGGGCGAGGGGAAGGAGAGGGAGGGGAGGGCGAGGGGGACAGGGAGGGGGAGGAGATGGGGAGCAGGTGTAGGAGGGGGAGGGGAGTGGGAGAGGCAAAGCAGCAATGGAAGGGCAGAGATGCAATGGAAGGGCGGCAGGCAAGGCAAGGCGTGCAGTGCAGGGCGCACCTCTCGTGGGCAATGACCCCCTCCATAGCCACATAGTCACCATCCGTGGCCGTCTCTGGCAACGCCAGCACCAGGCGCGAGTTGAAGATCTGCCACGGGCGAGGCGCAAGCAGCGGGGCAGGGGCGGGCGAGATGGGGGACAGGGGCGACACGGGCAAAAGGGGGGACAGGGGCAGGGGGGAGGTGGAGGAGTGCCATGGACGAAGGACATATTGAGGAGAAGGCAGAACACAGGGCACATGAATAGCAACCTCAGAGGGTGCACAAACGGTCCGTGGCAGATGCAAGTTCAAACGATACTGGCACATGAAACGCTAGTGGCAGATGAAACGCCATGTGTAGCGGATGGCAAATGACTGGCACTCACGTTGAGGCTCTTATTCTCCATGGCTCCCAGGTTGAAAACGGGGGCGGCGGGAGAGAGAGAATAGAGATAAGGTGAGTGACTGGGAGGGAGGGAGGGTGGTCGCAGAGATAACAAGAACGATGAGTAGAGGAAACGAAAATTGAACATAAAAAGCACGTGGCACTGTGACGCTGTGAAAGGGGAGGCGATGGTAGCACACAGCACTAGGGCGCCGAGCTAGCAGGCAAATTAGGAAGGGACGCAGCATGATTATGAATGCATTCTAATCTAACCCCCTAAAGCTCTAGTATGAGCTCAAGCCGCTGCAGTGCCATGCGCTACCATCGCCAAACGCCGCTCATCTCTCACTCAACTTTTGATCGCTCCCATTCGAAAATGGGCTCATTTGTTTCGAGCACGCGGTGACGGAAGAATGCGGTACAAAAGTGGGCAATGATAAACACGAAGCAGAAGCGGTAAGGATGGCAAGGGCGAAGGAAGAGGGAACTTAGCTGCATGGGGGTGCTTGCAAGACAGTTGCGTCAGGCTCCCTGGAGGCTCGCACACCGCTGTGACTGCCTGCCGTGCGTCATCCCACCGCCCTCCCTCCCCGCACCACGCTGCCATAGCACCAGACGAGATGGGAAGGAGAGCAAGAAAACAGAGCAGGGGAAAGGAACCCAAGTAGTCAGTAGAAGCATGAAAGTAGTGAAATGCATGCAAGGAGGCAGAGATAACAAGAATGATGAGTAGAGGAAATGATGCGCCCTCACCAGCAGCACTCGCACTCACCAGCAGCACTCGCGCTCACCAGCAGCACTCGCGCTCACAAGCAGCACTCGCACTCACCAGCAGCACTCGCCTGTTCATGCGCCTCCTCCCCTTGGAACAGCAAGGCCCGTGCAGCAATGGAGCCACCACGCCCTCTGCACCGCACGAGCAGAGCTGCTGCATCCACTGCTCTGCTAATCTACCGCCAGCACTCCATTCGCCCTGAGACCAGAGGACGCATGGGGGAGTAGGAGATGCAAGGAGATTGGACTGGAACAGAGAGGGCAGGCAACGAACTCGGAATAAATGAAAGCAGAATGGAGTGGAACGTAAAACGTGGATGTATTACAGCGAGAATGGAGTGGTGGAAGGGGGAACGGGGAAGGCGCATGGCGACAGTGGCCCACAGCACTAGAGCAGCGAGCTGAGCCAGCGAGGGGGGACTGGGGGACGCACGCATGGCATGAATGCACTCCCTCTCCACTACTCTATCCCACCACTCCCACTACACTGCACTCTACATGAGCTCTGCTGCCATAGCACCACGGACCACCACCACCATGCGCCAAGGGACGGACGAATGTGCCTCGAGACTTGCGAATATTGAAAGACACGGATGGGGAGCAACTAGGACTGGGGGGTGGGGAGGAAAATTAGCTAAGGAGAAGCGTAGAGGCTGAAAGTGACTCGTCTGAGGCAGTGCAGCAAGCAGCAGCGACGCCGCTCCGCACACCGTCGCACGCAGCAAGTAGGAAGCACGAAGAAAAACCTAAGGTAAAGGGAAAGAGCAGGATAGAAGGGGAAGGAGGAGAAGGAAGCAAGAAGGAGCAGGAGAGAGGAAGGAAGGGCTACTGGAGGCGGTTTTGTCATGCGGAATGAGTCATGCGGGTTCTGTCATGCAGGTTCTGTGATGCCATGTAACACAGCAAGCCAGACACATTGAGTGCAGCACAAAGAGACTCCACGCAGAGCAGACAGAACGCAGCAGAGAGAGCAAGCAACAGCAATTGACAGAGCGAAGAGCCGAGAGAGGGGCGAGTGCAGTGAAAGGGAAGATCGGGTGCAGTGAAACGTAGGAACGAAGGAAAGAGTGGCTGCAGTGAAAGGGATGCCTCGTACCATTGGCACAGGCGTGGGTTTTAGGGACTGGTGTTGACTGCCCATGCTGCTGCAGCCACCGCTGTGAGTGCCTGGCTTGCATCATCCCACTGCCGCCCCTCCACGGGCCTCCTCCCTCTGCTGCCTCACCTTGGAACAGCAAGGCCCGTGCAGCATTTAGAGGCACCACGCCCTGTACCACAGCAAGCCACACACAGTGAGTGCAGCACAAAGAGCAGCCAGAGGGCACAAGGCAAGGCAAAGGCAAGAGCTTGGAGATGACACGACGAGAAACGAAAGGTAGGAGGGAAGAGCAGGATGGAGGGGGAAGAGGAGACGGAAGCAGGAAGCAGGAAGGAGCAGGAGGGAGGAGGGAGTGCCTACTAGCAGTGGTTTGGTGATGCAGGTTCGGACACACCACAATGGCAGCGATGGCATGGGCGTGGATTCCGAGGGCTGGCATTGACTGGCGTTGACTGGCGTTGACTGATGTTGACTGCCATGCTGCTGCAGCCAGCGCTGTGCAGCTCTGCCCCCTGCACTCCGTTTGGCCTAAGGAGAGAAGGGGACAAGGCACAGGGAGAAGGAGATGCAAAGGAAGAGGATTGGCCTCGGAACTTGAAATGAATGGAAGCAGCAAGACAAGAACGTCAAGGTGGCAAAAGAGCAGAAGCAGTGAAGAGCGAGCATTGAGAAACTTGAAAATGGAGCGCAGCGGAAATGGAGTGGTTGAATCGTGGTGGGAGGGGGAACGGGGAAGGCGCATGGCGACAGTGGCCCACGGCACTAGAGCAGCGAGCTGAGCCAGCGAGGGGGGACTGGGGGACGCACGCATGGCATGAATGCACTCCCTCTCCACTACTCTATCCCACCACTCCCACTACACTGCACTCTACATGAGCTCTGCTGCCATAGCACCACGGACCACCACCACCATGCGCCAAGAGTCATAATTTGGCAGCAGTGAAAGAGAGAGATGGGGATAGCCAAGGAGAAAGGGAGGGGAGGACGGGGGTGCAGAGAGGAGACTTAGCTACAGGAGAAGCGTGGACGCAGAGAGTGAGTCGCCCAAGGCAGCAGTAATCCTCCCGGGCGACAGCAGCAAGCAGCAGCGTCCCATGCAGCTCGTCTCCATCAGACGAACGTGGCGCGATGGGTTGGCTGTGCATGCGTCGCAAACAGAACGCCCCACTCTGTAAGTAGTGCGAGGGAGAGAACAGAGCGGTAAGGAAATGAACAAAAGACAGGAAGGAGTACAGGCAAGACAGAGTGGGGCTTACGAGGGAACTTAGCGGCGAAAGCAGCAGCAGTCGTTCTAAGGTGCATCAGGAGGCTGCTCCTCCCGTTGTGACCCGCGCAGCAGTTGGACTCCCACTGCCGGCACTCCAAGCCACTGCCCTCCCAGCAGCACAGAGACTCCCACCAGCAGCCCTCCCAGCAGCAGCGAGACTCCCATCGGCCGCACTCGCAGCTGCCCGTGAGGGAGTGGCGTGATCAGCAGGGCACACCCATGCCTGCCGTGCGTCATCCACTGCCTTCCCTCCCTCCCCTCTCCTCTCCTGGCCTGCGACAAGGGAATGGATTGGGGAGAGAGGGCAGTGATTCAAAGGAACCCAAGTAATCAGAAGATGCATTAAAGTAGTGAAATGCATGCAAGGAGGCAGAGATAACAAGAAAGGTTGAAGATAAAAAGCACGTGGCACTGTGACGCTGTGAAAGGGGAGGCGATGGTAGCACACAGCACTAGGGCGCCGAGCTAGCAGGCAAATTAGGAAGGGACGCAGCATGATTATGAATGCATTCTAATCTATCCCCCTACGACTCTAGTATGAGCTCAAGCCGCCCCAGTGCCATGCGCTACCATCGCCAAACGCCGCTCATCTCTCATTCAACTTTTGATCGTTCGTATTCGAAAATGGGCTCATTTGTTTCGAGCACGCGGTGACGGAAGAATGCGGTACAAAAGTGGGCAATGATAAACACGAAGCAGAAGCGGTAAGGATGGCAAGGGCGAAGGGAGAGGGAACTTAGCCGTATGGGGGTGCTTGCAGGACAGTGGCGTGAGGCTTCCAGGAGGCTCGCACACCGCTGTGACTGCCTGCCGTGCGTCATCCCATCGCCCTCCCTCCCTGGACCACGCTGCCATAGCACCAGACGAGATGGGAAGAAGAGGAAGAAAACAGAGCAGGGAAGTAGTCAGTAGAAGCATGAAAGTAGTGCAACGCACGCAAGGAGGCAGAGATAACAAGAACGATGAGTAGAGGAAACGAAAGTTGAAGATAAAAAGCACGTGGCACTGTGACGCTGTGAAAGGGGAGGCGATGGTAGCACACAGCACTAGGGCGCCGAGCTAGCAGGCAAATTAGGAAGGGACGCAGCATGATTATGAATGCATTCTACTCTAACCCCCTACGACTCTAGTATGAGCTCAAGCCGCCCCAGTGCCATCCACTACCATCGCCAAACGCCGCTCATCTCTCACTCAACTTTTGATCGCTCCCATTCGAAAATGGGCTCATTTGTTTCGAGCATGTGGTGACGGAAGAATGCGGTACAAAATTGCCCAATGATAAACACGAAGCAGAAGCGGTAAGGATGGCAAGGGCGAAGGGAGAGGGAACTTAGCCGTATGGGGGTGCTTGCAGGACAGTGGCGTGAGGCTTCCAGGAGGCTCGCACACCGCTGTGACTGCCTGCCGTGCGTCATCCCACCGCCCTCCCTCCCCGCACCACGCTGCCATAGCACCAGACGAGATGGGAAGGAGAGCAAGAAAACAGAGCAGGGGAAAGAAAAACAAGTAGTCAGTAGAAGCATGAAAGCAGTGCAATGCATGCAAGGAGGCAGAGATAACAAGAACAATGATTAGAGAAAACGGAAGGTGAAGACAAAAAGCACGTGGCACTGTGACGCTGTGAAAGGGGAGGCGATGGTAGCACACAGCACTAGGGCGCCGAGCTAGCAGGCAAATTAGGAAGGGACGCAGCATGATTATGAATGCATTCTACTCTAACCCCCTACGACTCTAGTATGAGCTCAAGCCGCCCCAGTGCCATGCGCTACCATCGCCAAACGCCGCTCATCTCTCACTCAACTTTTGATCGCTCCCATTCGAAAATGGGCTCATTTGTTTCGAGCACGCGGTGACGGAAGAATGCGGTACAAAAGTGGGCAATGATAAACACGAAGCAGAAGCGGTAAGGATGGCAAGGGCGAAGGGAGAGGGAACTTAGC